TCAATGAGAGACCATGGTGAGACGTAGCCTTGTCCATAGATAACACACATAAATTAGTTATAGATAAGCAACTCAAGCACTCAACAAAAATGTTTACGGGTGTTGGCCACTAGATGGCTTCGCTTCAATTAGTTTCTCATTGCTCCTGTAGATGGCAGTAGCATATTATTTTATTTTATTCTATATTTTATTTATAAAGAAGGTTTTGTAAATTTTCAGCAAACACAAATTGGTAAAATTTAATAAATTTGTTTTTAACAAATAAAGACTTCTATGATTTACTATTTTTTTTATTTTCGGTAATTTTATATTTGTCTTAAAGTATCGTATTCAGGGCCCTGGCCTTGTCTGTCTACAGTGACTATAATAAAAAGTCTAAATATGTCGTTGCAGTAGTTATAAAAATAATGGACCACTTGGTGGGCACATTTTTATTATCTTACACATTGTCATAGTCTTGTAAACAAGTAAGCGAGTTGCACCTACCTATAATGTTCTTTGCAAACTCCGCGTAATGTTTCAATAAGTTGAATTCACTTACGACGCGACATCTATGGTTGAATAGAATTTCTGGTTGAGTTTTGACATTCAAGTTCAAGTAGACAATTTTTCGCCGGTAGAGGGCAGATATTCACAAAAGAGTGTTCCGAACTCCTATTACAAAACGAAAAAAATTTATGCTCCAAAAAATCATGAACCGAGCAAAAAAGTGATAACGATAGAGACTAGAATTCCTATGTATGTAAAAATTCCAAATCAAATTTCCTTGATTCTCGTGTGATCAACGTAGTATTTTAAGATTCAGAGCCTTTAGAGCCTTTAGATCCAGATTCAGGGCCTATTAAGTTTGCTACTCTATGAAATAATCATAAAAATTACAAAATAAAATCGTAGTGTCCCGTTGTAGACTGAAAAAAATTAAAATACTACAGAGGCCACACAAAGAAACAAACAAAACTGAGCCGTTGTATCCGAATTTTAACTGTAGCACAGTTATTGTTTTGTGCAATTGTGAGAATGAAATGTCTACTAAACTTACTGCATGGTGAGAAAGTTATACCTTTTTTCCTAGATCGCAAATTAAATTTTTTTCAATGTGTTTCCATCTTAGTAATGTAATACTTTTATTTATATTATATTTATAATATTTTTGATCAAGTAAAAAATAATAACGAACATTTTTTTTAAAAGCCACACTTTTACTATTATTGTAATCTGTCCATAGAGTTAGTATTTTACTTACTAACTCCATGCATTATGTGTATAATCTATGCTCCATGCGGCACGCTATGATGGCCGTTTTGACTTGACATAATATTACAATAGTAATGTGAAATGTCAATTTATTCTCGAAAAAAATATAATGAAATCTATGAGTTTTTATTGCAAGTAGGTAGTACCTGATAAAAAAGGTTTAATAAAACAAAAAGATAAACGATTACTTAATATATTTGAACGATCTAAATATTGGAATGAAAATGAATATAAATACTTTGTATGCCCATGTTATATGCAATCCTGTGACGATCGTATCAAATTTCATTTTTGTTAATTTTGAATTTCAAAAAACAAATGCCGACTTGTGTGGTAATTATCAATAATTATAATATTAAAAAAATTAAAAAATATATGTTCTCGGGAGCCTAATATATATAGTTTAGAAAACAATGTAATAATTAAAATTTGTGTCCTAAAATAATATATTCGATAAATTTTATAACTAACTGCACGTCACTATTGACAATAAAGAACAGCAATTGAAATTCAAATGTTTTTATTAGTCGTATTACTATTAATACGAAACTTCATGAGTAGGCAAACGTCCAAACGGCCATCTTAGCGTGCCGGCAGTATAGTCATCTGAGTATTTCATTAACCACTAAGTGAATTAATGAATGAATTAATTAATTATTTATCTATGTATCCACCCACTCAAAGTAGAATCTTGACCGAAAGGTCCTAGTTACCAGGTCATATAATCCCTTATAAAATAGTACGGCAATACTCAATACCTACCTTATAACGGGGTGATTAGGGATTGTAAGGTGAATGGGGAACAACCAGGAAAATCTTTCGACGCTCAATATTAGTTCTAAGTTCGTTGCAAAACTTCCATTTTTATCATGTAGTAGTAGAATGTTGAAAGTTCACAAAGCAATTATGAATATTCAGTGTGGTTTTTAGAGTAAATGGGGACGTGTAAGGCACAAATAACAACGAAAGAGAGGTCAATTGGGATGAGAACAAGTTGAATGGGAGCGACTTATGTATAAATAGGTACTGTTTGTAGGGTTATCTATGTAGTTATAACAATATTTTTTAATTGTGTTCGTAAGAATCTGATTTATTCATGATGTTTTTGTCTAAAACTTTTATTTAATTATTAATGCAGTGTTATATTATTTTTTGGCAAATATTTATATTATCAGTTATGTATTGTTTTACTATTTTTAGATATGCCTCACGTGTACATATCAGAGTGCAAAGCCTTATATGATATCTGATCCCTTAATATCAAAAAGAGCAATAGAAGCATGAAATCGGGAATAAGTCTTTATTTGAAATAGCTAATCAATTTAATATAAGTAAGTCGGTTTTGCGCAGACATGTAACAAGAACAATGAAATCTCAAGGTTTACAAAAATATCTAAGTGAAGAAGCACAAAAATACATAATAAAATATATTAATATTTGTTCAGAGTGAGGGTATCCACTTGATTCTTATGACTTACCCATAATAATAAAGGGTTATTTAGACCGAATTGGCGTAAAAATATTTAAAAATTTAAATTTTATTCGGAATATCGGAACTTATAGTGAGGGGTAGATCTCAGGGGTATTTAAAACTATGGGTTAGTCACCAATATCGAATTTCGAATTTTAATCTTCCTTTAGCACAAACAATTTTCAATTTTAAACATTAATTACATTTAGACGCGGGCGCACGCTATTCACACTCAAAACGGAAGCGCCCGGAACATAGATTATACACTGTTGAAAAGATCGACATANTCGCGCCGTCCGTATTCATGCATTTGTTTTGCTCGCCCGCCGCATCGCGCGATTCGCTCGGTACATTTCGCCGGTCGCTTCGCCGGTCGCCGGTGCGCGTGGCTTGTTAGGTACATTTCTATGCGCTTGTTTTAGTCGCTAGACGCTTCGCCGTTCGCACCGCGCGAATATTCGCATCGGCGAATGTCCCGTGGCCAGGCTGTTAGCGTGCCGGTAGTATAGTCATCTGTGTATTTCATTCACCAATAAGTGAATTAATTAATGAATGAATGAATTAATTATCTATGTATCCACCCACTCAAAGTAGAATTTTGACCGGACCTTTCGGTTAGCTACCAGGTCATAAAATCCCTTAGAAAAAAGTACGGCAATACTCAATACCTACCGTAAAACGGGGTGATTAGGGATTGTAAGGTGAATGGGGAACAACCAGGAAAATCTTTCGACGCTCAATATTAGTTCTAAGTTCGTTGCAAAATTTTCCATTTTTATAGTGTAGTAGTAGAATGTTGGAAGTTCACAAAGCAATTCTGAATATGCAGGTTATTTTTAGAGTGAATGGGGACGTATCAGGCACAAATAACAACGAAAAAGAGGTCAATTGGGATGAGAATAAGTTGAATGGGAGCGACTTAAGTATAAATAGGTATAGTTTGCAGGGTTGTCTATGTAGTTATAAAAATATTTTTTAAATATGTTCGTAAGAATCTGATTTATTCATGATATTTTTGTCTAAAACTTTTATTTAATTATTAATGCAGTGTTATTTTATTTTTTGGCAAATATTTATATTATCGGATAAGTATTGTTTTACTATTTTTAGATATGCCTCACGTGTCCAAGAGTGCAAAGCCTTATACGATATCTGATCCCTTAATATCAAAAAGAGAAATAGAAGCATGAAATCGGGATTATGTCTTTATTTGAAATAGCTAATCAATTTAATATAAGTTAGTCGGTTTTGCGCAGGCATGTAATAAGAACAATGAAATCTCAAGGTTTACAAAAATATCTAAGTGAAGAAGCACAAAAATACATAATAAAATATATTAATATTTGTTCAGAGTGAGGGTATCCACTTGATTGACTTACGCATAATAATAATAAAGGGTTATTTAGATCGAATTGGCGTAAAAATATTTAAAAATTTAAATTTAAATTTTATTCGGAATATCGGAACTTTATTATATATTTCACAATTTAGAATGCTCTCAATTTATAATGCTCTCGTACGCAGTACCTTAGAATATTGCTGCATTGTGTGGAATCGTTAATCCTTATGATGAGATATACAAGAAACGATTGGAAAATGTCCAGAAACGGTTTCTATGGAACTTTTCTTACAGCTAGAATCTGGGTTGGAAGTTACCCAGCTATGGAGACATACTTTGCTGCGTTAATCTAGACTTTCTTCTTAATCGGAGGATATTAATGGGTGGTATATGTCTATACAGATAAATCCATGGAATAACAGACACACCTAATCTCTTAACACAAATAAAAAAAAAATGTTCACTATGTTGGTGCAACTAAATAAAGAAATAAATAAATTAATTAAAACCGAGTAGTGCCAGCCTTAGCAAATTTCTCTATTGACCCCAGTTTCGTTCCCATTAACCCCAATTTCCGGTGAATAGGAATATCACCAATTTTTGCTTCTTTTGCATAAACTAAAATTCTAATTGTTTAATTTTATATTAGATAACAAAGATACCCCCGAGACTCAATCATTTTGTTTGATCCTGCTAAAGTTAATTAAAGAATTATATAAGTACCAATTGTTCATCAAGTTGGGATTTATCCCTAATCACCCCGTTTTACCGGTACCTACATTTAGCATGGAGTGATGAACTGTGATGGTATAGTTTTCATTTTTCAAACTTTCAAAGTTTCAACACAAAGCCGCCTTTGAACTTTTATTATCCAAGATTTGCTAGAAGTATTACATACATACATCATACATGATATGAAAATAATGCTGACTTATCATTAATTTTTAGCCGAATAACATTATATCGAGAAAGTTTTCTGTTACACCGCCAATAGACGACGAAGATGTGAGTATACATCCGAATGATTTTAATTTTAAATTTTATTGCCTTATATATTAAATTATTTTCTATTACACTTTAGGAGTTACGTTGATTTGGCTACGTTAACTATGCACCGTAGAAACGAATTAGAAGGTAGAATAAATATGTTCCTAGAAAAATGTGATCATGCAATCAACGATATAAAAAAAATGAAGACGAAGGTATGTTTATTTTAAATACTTCATCTTATCGCTTGTTAAATTCAACAATCAATGAACAAATCAAAGTAGTATTTAGTACCGTTATAATATTTACTCATACAAGAGAATATTGTTTTTTTTTTCAATTAATTTCTTTAAATAACTATTTTTAAGTGAGGAAAATATTCTTCCTCATGCTCATGTGTGAATCATTATCGCTCCTAGAAGCGAAGTCTTGCTGGCTGGTCACTTTTCGTTTAAATTAAATATAGTAATTGTGAATGTGATTTTATTTGTTTATGAAACTTTCACATTTCATTTACTCCGTCAATCATCATGTCATTTTGCATACACATTGTCGGGGACACAGAAAAAAATTTTAGTATCTTTCAAACAAAAAAAATATTGATTCTGTGGAATTGTTTTTTTCCACATTAACTTAAGATGAAGTTATGTTTTGAACAGCTTGTAAAGAAATAAATCAAGGGGGAGTAATAGAACTAATGTAAAATTTCCTCGATCTTGGACACTAACTATAAGGGTAATCCTAAAGAAAACTTTAAATAGCAATGACATTCATGAGGAAATTGTCGAGGATGACTATGAATTACTATTTTTTCCTATGAATTTTTTTAGACCAATCATATCTTTTTTATTTCTTAAGAAAAAGAGAAAAAAAGATGACCTTAAACAGCTATTTAAATTCTTAACAATTCTGATGTATCACAATAAAAATATGTAGGTAGGTTGAAGGTAGGGTTAAAAACCTTACACCTTACTTGTTGTATGAAAAATATCTGAGAAAGTAATCTACACCCATAATCATATCATAATTTAAATTATTACATCCATTATTTTTCTTAAATGGGGGAAAACAGCCTTATTAGTAATTTTTGTTAATTAGCAATTTCTAATTTAGTTCCATTTCATCTATACTTTCAACAAACTCGAAGTCATCACACTATCTGATACAATTTTCCGCTCTACATCACCTAAAATATACATCTACTACTTCTAATTTACGCATACCAATTATATATATACAAATGATTTGATGAAAATGCTCATAACCTACATATATTATAATTATTAGACATAAAATTAAATTAACAATTTACAGATTAATATCAAATTAAAGCAATACTCAAACTGCTTAATAACCACAAACTGATCTATTATATAAATTGTGAATATTATGTGTTGTATATCCAAAAACATCAATCTTACAAAACTTGAACTTTGAATTGAATAAAATACTTTACAATCATCATCAATACAGACAGACATCATTACATTTGACACAGCAGTTATTGACATAGCTAATTTGAAAAAATATACAACTAGAAAAACACTAAAGCGTAAATGAGATGATATGGTACAAACACAAAAATAACTACATCTGAGCAAGCAAGACTTTAATTTTGTGCTTATAATTCAAGTTTTCAACTAGGTGTATATTTTCAGTTAATATCAGTTTGCAAGGTAATATTTGGTGAGGAAGTCTGTGTGTTGAGATCTTCGTTAATAATGCGAACTCAATCAAATAATAATAAAAATTTAAAAGGACTGAACCCATAAATATGTATATATACCAATTAAATTAGTTTCGAAACCAAAGAATTTTTTATTCTGATATATTTCAGGCTCAAGGATTTGTTCTACAACTCAACTGTGACCCGGCGGAGCTGAAGGAACGATTCTTGAAATCCATGAAACTACTTGACGAGTTTACATATCTCATAACAGACTTCAATCTAGCTACTGGCCAAATAGGTAATGTTTAACAATCTGATCAGAAATCAAATGCATGATATACATATNACCAAAGTAGTTTTTATTCTGATATATTTCAGGCTCAAGGATTTGTTCTACAACTCAACTGTGACCCGGCGGAGCTGAAGGAACGATTCTTGAAATCCATGAAACTACTTGACGAGTTTACATATCTCATAACAGACTTCAATCTAGCTACTGGCCAAATAGGTAATGTTTAACAATCTGATCAGAAATCAAATGCATGATATACATATATATATATGTATTTACGTTTGAAATTATATAAATCATTATTAATCTTTGTTTGATTAGCAGTTCATAACCAGAATATAATTTTAACTGTTTTTGTTATACAGAAGACTTAGGCAGCTCAGAATACACACCAGTGCCTGATACAACACCGAAGTTACTTCCAACACCTCAATTACCAACGCTTAACTTATTAGATGCATTAAGTGAACCAACTCCTTCTACGTCACAAGCTAGCATGAAAGTGACCCACACGAAAAAACCTAAAAGATTAAAAAGCATTAAAGACGATCAAACATTGATCTCATTCTCGAGTTCATCTTGCTCATCGGAAAGTGTTCCTTTAGTGAAGACTGAGGTTGTAAGCAAGGAAGTGCAGTGTGAAATTGTTTATGAATTGGAAAATTTAGAAATTGAAGGTACATTATCACTAAGATAATCATTGTAACAATTTTTTTTACTTTACATTTGTTGTTTACATTTGTTGATAGTTATTTATTCATGAGTTTTCCCTATTCTAAATTGATCACTACCTTCATTAATCTACATTATGATGCAAGTTATAAAAATAGATCTAAATAAAAGATAGTGAGTTCAATTTAAATTTATAAAGTCTGTTTCTTCTCTTTCTCTTCTCTTTTATTTTGGATAAACTACTAACTTATTTATGCATTTGATCTGCTATAATTATGGGAGTGAGCGAAACCTGCTGCAGGCAAATCCGCAATTTGGTGGTGAGGAACTGATAGCAATGCCATCTACATATATCCAGTATTGATTCTGATAGGTTAGGCAGCGGCTTGGCTCTGCCCCTGGCATTGCTGAAGTCCATGGGCGACGGTAACCACTCACCATCAGGTGGGCCGTATGCTCGTCTGCCTACAAGGGCAATAAAAAAAAAGGTAGTTCTACACACTGCTGATGGTAAGCCTAGGTACCACCCTGCCTATTTCAGCCGTAAAGCAGTAGTGCATTTCGGTTTGTAGGGTCGGGCAACTTTTGTACTATAAAACTGATACTTAAAATCATATCTCAAGGTGCGTGGCGGCTTTTATGTTGTTTATATCTATGGGCCCCAGCAACCACTTAACACCAGGTGGTATGCTCTTCTAACCATCTAATCAACGAGAAAAAAGACTGATCATGACAGAACCTTATTGCATGTTATGTTAACAGATAATCAATCACAAGTATCCCAAGAATCCTGCAAGTTGCCAGCTCAGTCGATGTTAGAAGTTGATAATACCTACTCTGGGACAATCATGCACGTAGATGGATCTTCTTTTTGGATTATAACCGAAGACACTGATATAGTTTACAGGTTAAGATTTTAAATATTTTACTTCCATACAATTCCCACATAGGTACTCATACTATTTTTAAGATATGATATAACGCACTAAATGAATTTTGTGACTAATCTTATTTTCTTGTTTGTAAAGTAATTGATTCTGGATTCCAATTATAGTCATTAGTATAAATAAAGAGTCGATTAAAGTTCCCAGCTATTAAAAGAAAAAAATCCCAAATTAATTCTAAAAATCAATAGATTTATATATTATAATGTTTTTATAATGTTTTTTTACAGATTAATGTTAGAAATGACAGAATATTATACTAAGAATTACAGGAAAATGAATCTAAAAGAAGTGAAAATATTAGCGTATTGTGCTGTGTACGATGGAGATTGTTATTATAGAGGGCTTTTTCTAAATTTGATTGAGGTAATTTTAAAAGGAAGTTATATAAAAATCTGTTGTGAGTATATAAAATTCAACCGAATCTTGTTTTACTGCAGGGAAAACCAATTCCGTTTAATTTCCTGTCCTGTTTCTGTTTAATATGGTTCCATTTAATGTGATAAAACAAATGTGATTCAAATAAATATGTTAATAGTTATATAAAAAAACCATATGGGAAAAATTTGAAAATTTCCTGTGCGCTCATTATTTCCATAGCTATTGATTATTTAAATTAAGATAAAACTGGGCCAAACCATTCTACAGGTTTTTTAATTAACACAAATTGAACGGAATTAAATTTCTGAAACATAAAAAACGTGCATACACATTTTATTTGAACTATGAAAAATCAGATTTATGTATTCAAAAACGATAATATCAAAACATTGACCAATATGGATACTAGACCACAAAATCATAGCAATACATAGAAAAAATAAAAAAGATTGTGTGGTTTTATGAAACCACAGTAAAAGTGATTTTTTTTTTAAATTATAGACATTTAACTCTGACAAACAATATTTATATTAAAAACTGACAAAAACAAAAACAAAATAGCGTGGAGCACTGGCACAAATGAGTAATAGTTTATACACTACATGGTCAGCTGCTGCGAACTATAGGCGCCGCCATATTGGCCTTGGCTGCTCTGACGAGCGTCTTTCACTTTATCCCTACTCCGCGGCCGACCGTCACGCGACATGCAACACACAAACGAAAAAGTTTGAGACGATGTAATAAAAGCTTATTAACCAAAAAACAAACTTCCATTTGCAAAACTTCAATAGAGTAGTAGTAGTAGAGTAGCAATAGAGATCTGTAAAATGTATTTCATATAATTCCCCTTCCAGGACGGTACGAACACTGCAGAGGTGTACATAGTGGACACGGGAGAGACGCGGTGCTTCCACATAGATAGTCTTCAGCCACTGGTATTGCAGTTCTGTGATTCGCCTCCGTATGCACGGTGCTGTCATTTAGCTGGGGTAAATATTCATGGCTTATACACTACACGGCACGGTGGCCGTCTTCTGAGTCGGTCTCTTCATTGTTGAAGGTCATGTCTAATTTGAATGTGGACCACTCGATGCACAATGCTTCCCCACGTCTTCCTCGGCGGTCTTTATAGCCTCGGTTATTATAATTTAAATTTTGCGGATTTGTCTTTTATTACGCGATGTTATTCCTTCACCGTGGAAGTCAATCGTGAGCATTTGTCAAGTATGTATTTCATTAGAAAAATTGGTACCCGCCTGCGGGATTCGAACACCGNTCTAATTTGAATGTGGACCACTCGATGCACAATGCTTCCCCACGTCTTCCTCGGCGGTCTTTATAGCCTCGGTTATTATAATTTAAATTTTGCGGATTTGTCTTTTATTACGCGATGTTATTCCTTCACCGTGGAAGTCAATCGTGAGCATTTGTCAAGTATGTATTTCATTAGAAAAATTGGTACCCGCCTGCGGGATTCGAACACCGTTGCATCGCTAGATATGAATGCACCGGACGTCTTATCCTTTAGGACTTCCTGATTCTTCATATTATTATTGTATGCCCCGGTGGTAGAGCAGGTTGCGGCATACGGATTGTTATTACCATCCTGCCTAAATCTGTATTAAACCAGTTCTGTGAACTAGAGTGAACCGGCTTGAACGGTGGGATATCGATGTGAGTGACGGCATTCGCCTTTTGATCTCTATGGACACTTATAAACACCTAATACCAGATAGGATGTGACAGCTTCTCTGTATGCTGTTAAAAAATAATAATATTACATTGCCTTCAAATTGTGGTTTAATGTTGTACGTAATACGATTTTGTAAATTTTTTTCATTCATTACAGGTGGACCCAATTAAGTATAACGATATGCATCTCGTCGAGAAACTTGAAGAGTGCATGAGAAATTATATAGGAACTTTATGTAGAATTGAAATTGATGACAAGTTAGTAGTTGTAATATTTAATGTACTACTGTATCGGCGGATAGCTTTGCTAAGCTTGAATAGCTTGGATAGCTTTGTTTGCGGTAGGCAGCGGCTTGGTTCTGCCCCTGGCATTGCTGAAGACCATGGGCGACGGTAACCACTCACCATCAGGTGGGCCGTATGCTCGTCTGCCTACAAGGGCAATAAAAAAAAAAAAAATTTGGACTTCCAATTCTCTCAAATCTCGAAATCCATAAACCAATTTGAATAAATTTAAAAGTCTATGTAAGCTCGTATCTGACTGCATCAGTGTCTAAGAGCATAGATTACAAACATTATTACATTAAATCAATTTAAAGGAAGTAAAAAAAAAAACAAAAAAAAATTACGTTACTTCTCAGGTGCAACCAAGGATTATATGGTGAGACATCTATACATATAAATAAAATTGGAGTGTCTGTTTGTAATATTAAAATAAGCGCTTTTTACTACATGCATATGAATATACAATAAAATATATGAATTTACTAGCTGACTCGGCAGACTTCATAGTGCCTCCAATCGATAAATAAAAGATCTAAGCTTTTGTAGAAAATAAACTTAAAACAAACAAAAGGAATCCGTCCGACGGGGGACACATCAAAGGAAAAACAAAATTGTTATTTTTATTTAATTCCGAGCATTTACAAATTTAGATACCTTTTAAACCTTCTCTGGACTTTCACAAATAATTCAAGATCAAAATTAGCCAAATCGGTCCAGCCGTTCTCGAGTTTAAGCGAGACTAACGAACAGCAATTCATTTTTATATATATAGATAGATAGTCATTCTGTTCACAGCTCGTCGGAGTCGCTCGGCGTGTACGTCATACTGCCGGACAACCAGACACTCAACCAAATAATCGTACAACAGGAATTTGCTAACGCCAGTAAATATTGCTTTTTAAAATATATTTAATAAATGCTTAGAAACTTCGAGAACTATAAGTAATGAGCTACAATTATATCAGTTTGCCGTATTCAAAATTGATTGATGTTGCCAGGTGACTTTGAATTGTGATTGTTTCATGTGGATAATTTTTGACAAGAACTTTCGTGGATGTAACTATGGAGGGTCTAAAGTTAATAGTACCATCTTGTATAGGGGATAAGTTGAGAAAGTGTTCCCCTGTAAAATCAAGTTATTGTTGGAAGACTCACTGAAATAGGGCTAGTGTAAGAAGTGGAAATTATATGAATATAGCAGTTTTAAACAGTGTAGTGTGCTGGATTTAAGTGAAGTGTGGTAGTTAATGATTCTGTTTTTTTTTTAATCTTTCCACTTGCTACTGTGGCGCCACCTTCATTGGTTCCTTTTCGGTGAACACTTTTTAATAAACTGTGATTGTATGCTGTGGCGCCACCTTGCTTGGTTCCCTTTTAGCGGACACTTTAATACACTGTCATGGTGCTCCTCATTTTTACCCTTGATAGACGAAACGAAGGCGCCTTTCGAGTCTTCGTGCTGGTAGCCTATAAATTAATTGACGTTAACTTTCATGATATTCAAAATTATCGCGAGATTTACAGCTCAAAACGCGAGAATGAGAGACTATAGCAATATACGTGTAGGTATCACCGCCCTGCCTATTTTTGCTGTGAAGCAGTCATGTATTTCAATTTAAAGGGTGGGGCAGCCTTTGTTCATTGAAAACGAAGACTTTAGAACTCATGTCTCAAGGTGGGTGGCAGAATTTAGGTTATTGGTATCTATGAGCTTTGATAAACACTTCACACCATGCGTCTGAACTCTTCCACTCATCTGAGCAATAAAAAAATAACATCCTGCCGCCGACCTCTCACAGACGCCGCCACACTCCTCACCTGCGATGCAGTAGGCAGATAAAATATAATCGGTTAATAATAATAAGTAGTCTCCTGTGAGAAATTGGGGGCTGGAAGACCTCGGTCCTTCTCTTCTCCCCTTCTTCCTCTCAGGAGGCGCCGGACATAATCCGGTCCGTTAGTTACCCTCCTCGACCGGGTATCCGTAAATGGATAAAAAGGCAGAAAACATTTGAAATGCTAATTTAAAACTCTTTATTTGATCAGTCGACAGTCCAGTTTCTCCCGCGAAGCAAGCGCCCGCGGTCCACTGCCCGCCCGAGCTGGTGAACGACAGTTCCTTAGACATCACGCACGGTCCTGAATACGAGGACCCCGTTGAAGCAGTCACGGTACGATTATCTATATAATAATACGTGAAGCAAAAACTTTGTATCCCTTTTTACGAAAATTGCGCGGACGGAGGAGTATGTAATTTTCCACACTTATAGAGAATATAGAGAAGGAGTGCACAATGCTTATATTTTTTTAAAATAATGCATAGAAGATACATTAAATCAATAAAGAAAACATTACACACACTACATACCATGGATATGACGCACACACGCATGCATACTATTTATTGTCAAACTTTTGTTCTTGATGTCTGTTGTCAAATTGAGAATAGATTAAATATTGTTTGTCTTTGTTAATATTTTTTATAATGTACTATAAAATACAATCATAATAGTGTACAGACCTACAATTCCAATTAATTATAGTCGAATTTCGACTACTGCGGGACCTCTAGTATTACTTAATCTGCGTTACAGTGTGTCGCCAGAGTGCTTGCCTATAGATATACAGTCAAAATCTGTTATAACGACATCGAAGGGACTGCTCATATTCAGTCGTAAAAACCGATAGTCGTAACAACCGGTGATGTTTAATGTGTATCGTGCAAGTACAAACAAATAAATAGGGAATTATTGGAAAAATATATTTATTCAACTATGTACGTTTTGTTTATTACACATAAGTACAATGCATATTATTTTTCTGTGAGCATAAAATCTGTAATATTGGTCTGTTTGGAACACTTCTTTTGCTCATAGATATTTTGTAATTCACGTTGGATTTTAATTAACGTATCGTCATCCGTCTTTCCAAATGGTTGAAATTGTCGAGTGTGATACACCATATTCCTTTGCTGCCTTTGTTTGAAATTCCGCTCTCTAGTTTGGATATAATACGCGATTATTCTTCAATATTAATTTGTTTTCCTTTGTTTTGCGACATTTTGAAAGTTTCACGAATAACTCCACAAAGTTTTGGTGCATCTTGTGTATAGATAAGTAACAAACTAACTGAAGAGATATGAAGAAGCGGGCTTTGACTCTACCGCATGCACGTGTTTTGTTTCTATGAATTAGAAAAGACCATACACTAAACGAAATCCTATTGTTTTCTTTTCTGATTTTAATAGCCATTGAAGACAAATGTGGATACCTATTCAAATTGTTTACAATACAGCTGAGCCGGTCGTTCTAACAGATCTAATTCTCCGAAATATTAGTTAAATGTGGTCGTTTTATGAGGTATGTCGTTATTAGCAATGTCGTATAAAGCAATGTTTTTAATAAGGCGGTCATATGGCATTCAGCCGGGACCTTTGTTCTAGGTTATTATAACCGGTATGTTGTTCTAAACGATGTCGCAGTAAACGGTTTTGACTGTAATAACAAAAAAAATGTACTTAATTCAAATATTTCAAATTAAATTGAATATATAGTAACATAGGATTCTGAACTATGTGTACGGAAGTTGAAGTTTGCGTTTTTTTTCTTCCTATATATACTGAAGACTTTGATAAGCTATATCAGAGTTACTCTAGCGTGTAGGTGAGCTCACGGGGCTCAAACATGACGATGTTGCTAACACGAACCCTAGCAAGAAGCTTCGCAGAATCTACCACCGGATCGGAAACGCGATCCACTGAGAAGATCCGGCCAGAACTCAGTGGGCTGTGTCTGTGGGTTAATTTCATTGGCGAGCCCTTCGTTGCAAGCGACGGTTTCGACGAGAACGATGACCGGTGTCAGCCAGGATGCTTGCCTATAGATACAATAACAAAAAAAAATGTACTTACCTAATTCAAATAGGTATCTGAAATTAAACTTAATATATAGAAAAATACGAAATCTAAACTATGTATATGGAAGTTGACGTTCACGTTAACACGGTACTACTATATAGGGGCCGCAGTATATATTTTTTTAAATAGTGTGTCATAGGTTTTTTTTTGTTTCGTGCCAGGGTTATCACAATCGCGACGAAGCGGACATATGCAAACACTACAAAGGCGGTCCGAGCGCGACCTGCTTCAAAGGAGCGAAATGCAAAAAGAAACACATCGTCAAACATCCAGGTACGTTCCCGGAACCAGTTTATTTTATGGCTACGTGGAATACGTATTAAATGAATGCAAACAGCGCAGGACCGATCTTTGTGGCGAGGATTGGGGGAACCCTATGCCCAGCAGTGGACGTCTGTGGGCTGATACAGAGAGAGCTCAACGTGTTCGTTGCTCTCGTCGATCCATTCGACTTTATCAGGTAATAAAAGGTATGTGGGAGGCTTAAACGACGGAGGGAAGATCTTCCACCGAGCGGGTGATATTGCTCGGTGGACCGACGGTCCGAATATTGTTCGGAACTTGTATATATGCAAGCCTATCTTGATAATGTCGTAAGCGAGATTCATGCATCTCTCAAATATCTTGCGTTGTATGATGGCTACCGGTCACAGGTATAAATGTCGATTAAATATTATATTTATATTTTTGATATATATATATATATACATAACGAATCACGCACTGTCTTTATTCCCTAAATTAGGATTCCTTATGTTATGGGTACCAGCAACTGACAAAAATACACTTGTATATGTTTAAATATATACTTACATAGATAATAAATATCCTGACGAGCCAATCGAAACATGTTCATCACACGAACGTTGATCCGGTGTGGAGTCGCACCTACGACCCTCGGAGCAAGAGTGAGGGGCGTTATGTATTGCGCTACCCAGTCAGTGTTAATTTTACGATACCGACAAGATGTTTCGTAGATGAAAAACGAGTTTGTCAAATGAAAATTGTGTAGTAAAGATTACGTAATAATTTGTGGTAGATAAAGTAATTTGTTAACAACACAGTATCTTACGGCCAACGAGGGTACTAGAACTAATATAACTAGTAAACTAATCTAATATATAAAATTCTCGTGTCACAGTTTTCGTTGCCATACTCCTCCGAAACGGCTTGACCGATTTTGATGAAATTTTTTGTGCTTATCCGGTATCTATGAGAATCGGCCAACATCTATTTTTCATCCCCCTAAATGTTAGGGGTAGTTCACCCCTAAATTTTTATTTTTTATTTTGTAGACAAAATTTTTAATTTCTATTTTTTTATGATACAACATACAAAAATACAGACAATTCTCAATTTTCACCCTTCTACGATCAACCCTTATTTTTTATTTGCTAATTAAAAATTTAAAAGTTTTTTGCGAGAATTTTGTTTTTATTTTGTCATGACGTAGAATAAAAAAAATCATATTACTCTGAAATTTTCACCCCTCTACGATCAACCCCTATTTTTTATTTGTTAATTATAAACTTTAATTTTTTTGGCAAGATTTTCATTTTTATTTTTATTTTGTCATTAATTAAAATAAAAAATCTGATGTTACTCTCAATTTTTCATCCCTCTATGATCAACCCCTATTTTTTGTTAATTATAAACTTTAATTTTTTTGGCAAGTTTTATCATGACTTAAAATAAAAAAAATCATATTACTCTCAATTTTCACTCTTATACGATCAACCCCTATTTTTCCATCCGCAATAAGGTTGCAAGATGGCAATTAAATATTATAATTGTAGTACGATAAATTCTTATTCAGAGTTTATAATTTCAAGTTCCTTTAATTATGATTTTTTTTAAATTGAATTTGATCTCCCGCGCTCGCCGGTCGACTACTGATCAACTATCAATCGATCAGCTATCCCCACCAGGTGTCACCACTGATCCAGCAAACATCACGTAGTAGGGATGGGGACGAAGCCGGTCTCCNACCGCAACGATGCAACGCAATAACTGCAACACGGTCTTCTTTAAGCGTCCACTCCATATTTAAAAATGAGTAAAATTCTAAAAGTATACGTTTTTATTTTCATGAACAATTCGAAATTCGAATTCAATAAACTTTTTTGTGGCCAGCATTCTAAAAGAAAAGTTTTTACTGTGTGACAATACTTATGACCTGACTAGGTATAATATATAAGCAAATTGGTTCCACTACATCCATTCTCAATCAATGTTGATGCCAGACTCTCGCGCGTACATATTCTGTCATGTGAACGCTTCCATTGCGCGGTGACGCGCGGTACCGCGCGATCATATAACCTTAGCCTAAATGCCGCCACCCAATTTGAGATATGAGTTCTAAGGTCTCATTATAGTTACAACGGCTGCCCCACCCCAAATTGAAACGCATTACTGCTTCACGGCAGAAATAGGCAGAGTGGTACCTACCCGTGCGAATTCACAAGACGTCCTACCACCAGTAAAAAATATTTCCATGATAATTTTACCCGATCTTCTCCAATCTTTTCTTATACTCCCAAACATTACTTTTTACTGGTGGTATATATGTTGTAGATGTCTATGGGCTCCAGTAACTACTTAACACCAGATGGGCCGTAAACTCGTCTACAAATAAAACTAGCAGTGTATAGTTTCAACATGGAAATTCGTAAAATTTATAGAACATACCCCCCGAGATTGTACCGTGAATTTGGTTAATAATTTCATTTCCATTAAGAAGTCTTCCAGTTTCACCAGGACAGGTGGGCGAGCAAAGGCTCAGCCAGGAGGGGTGGGATTTGCTAACAACTCCAGAACCACCTAAGAACTCAAGACCAGCTGCTTCGCGAATGATTAATGGATATATTTGATTTGCTTACAGAGCAGATACCTGAATTCGGTGTGGTGCTGCCCCCCGCGACGCTGGAGAGCCTCGTGCGTGACATGAACAGCCCCGCCGCGCGCATCACATATAAACCTTTGAAGGTATACTTTGAACGGTTTTATTTTTTGCGTTTTACTCCTTGAGACTCGAAGTAAATGTTTCAAGAGGTTATAACGGGAACGCTCAAGTGCTGATTGGTGTCAGCCTAGATTTTTTTTCTTACCTAAGCTGATAACCTTGAGAGGCTATTTCAGCGTAACCTTAACTAGTAGGTGAGCTCACGGGGCTCAAACCTGACGACGTTGCTAACCCGAACCCTAGCAAGAGCCGTGCTTCACAGAATCTACCACCGGATCGAAAACGTGATTCACTGATTAGATGCGGCGAGAAACTCAGTGGGCTGGGTACGTTAACAAATCGAATGTTGTTCTATAGCTAACCCCTGCTCCGGGAGAGATGGTGGCTGCATTGTACCCGCTGGACGACAACTGGTATCGAGCCAGAGTGCTCTCACTCACCCGACCCGACCAGAGCGTGGAGGTATGTTTTTTTTTTTAATTACCCTTGTAGGCAGACGAGCATACGGCCCACCTGATGGTGAGTGGTCACCGTCGCCCATGGACTTCAGCAATGCCAGGGGCAGAGCCAAGCCGCTGCCTACCGTTGAGTACTCTCCACAAGCCTCGTTTGAAGACATGTCATAGCGCTGTTTCATTTAAAAACTGTTATCCTGAAGTGGCCGGTTATATTATGCCTTCAGCCATTGGTCCCTCAGTAGTCGTAATTCGACTATAATTAATTATAATTATAAGTTTGTACACTATTATGATTCTATTGTCAAAGACTTCTATAATCACAGAATTCGCCAAGACTACACTTTAGACAAAATATATTAATAAAGAGAAACAATATTTAGTCTATTCTCAATTTGACCACAGACTTTACGCAATAAGAAAAGCTTGACAATAAACAAATAGTATACGTGCGTGTGTGTGTCAAATACATGGTAGTGTGTGTAATGTTTTTATTTTTATTGATTTAATGTATTTTTATGCATAATTTAAAAAAATATTAACATTCTGCATTCCTTCTCTATATTCTTCATAAATTTGGCTAATTTTATACTCCTCCGTCTGCGCAATTTTCATAAAATGGAGTACAAAGTTTTTGCTCACGTATTAATATATAGATTACTCAAAACAGATCTGACGTGAAACAATGCACGGAGGATACACAATGACGACTTTTATTACTTGTATTGGTTAGGTCAATTTTATAAAAGCGCAATATTTGAAAATAATAACACGCACTTATAAAAAAGTAACTAACTAACAATAATAATTATCGTCACTGGCCAGTACAATCGTCAGGCGATATGAAGTAGGCGTCGTACGATGTGGAACTCATTTCTAGAACTTTATTTAATTTGTAGTCTCCTTGTTATTGAGGAATTTAAACAACAACATTAGTACATTACTGTTCAATCCATTTGTCTAAAATTTGATATAGAATAGTTTTCATGGTTACACGGTTACATAGTCTTCATGGTAGCGGCATATCTCAAGGTAGGTAGCGCATTTACGTCGTAGATGTCTATGGGCTCCAGTAACCACTTAACACCAGGTGGGCTATGAGCTCGTCCACCCATCTAAGCAATAAAAAAAAACCTATTTTCTAACGAGTTGCTTAATGTATGATCGCAGGTGATGTACGTAGACTACGGCACCGTTCTGTGGGTGAAGGAGGACCAGATCCGCCACCTGGAGGCCCGGTACACGTTCCTGCCGATGCAGGCGGTGCGGTGCGTGCTGGCGGGCGTCACGTGCCCGTCGCACGACTCGCAGCACTGGGCCGCCGCCAAGCGGGTGCTCGGCGAACTAACCCAGGACAAGCTGCTCGACGCCCATATCATGTTAGTGCATCTATACTAATATATAATAAATCTGCAGTGATTTTTACGGATGTTCCGTTATAACTACTGAACCGTGTATCCGATTGACTTGAAACTTGGTATCCATGTAGAAAAAACATGTACTTAATGGATAGGCTAATATTTATATGAGCGTTGGACTCCCTACACCAGTTTCGGGGGCATTAATGATGGGAATCTTTGTGGGGGTGAGAAATAATAATGTTAATTTTAAAGGCCCAGCGAAGCGGACGGGTACAGCTAGTATTTTATAAATTTGTAAAATCTAGTCGGAGACTGTGAGAACGAGAATTTGTGACTTTGAATACAATCCCGTTGCCCGAAACCCCTTAGAAAAAATTCAACCTACAAATTATCCATCGCCCCCATGATTGTAGTGAGCAAAACCGGTAATGTGCAATAAAAAAAAAATGTAAAAAAAAATATATGTATTATATTCCACAGATCTCGGGACTACGACGAAGTAGCAGTCGAATTGTTCAACAGCGACGGCTACAGCATCGCGGAGCAACTTGCAGCTCGAGACATGGTCGACCTGGTAGAATACTCTGTGGTCGACGACACGAAAACGCAATGTAAGGTTGTCGCACCTTGACCTTTATGTACTGTGGCGTCTGTAGTCGTTAGACCTCGATATTTTTATACAGATAATGACATACATGATTCAAACCTGACTCATAGTAAGGTAGCTTAGAACTATTTTTAATCTAGATTTTTTTTAGTATTAATGCCTAGGAAATATATTAAGGCTTTTGTAATTAGTTCAATTCAGTCAAACTTTGAGCGTCAAAAACGGATGGTGCACACCCATGTTTAGATTATCAATAAGAATGTATTGTTTTTTTAGTTTATTTTCTTCATAACCTATAAAGTTTTTAATCTTGTTTTAATGATTCATTTGAAATAAGATGCGGGTTATATTGCAATGTCTAGACAGAACTCTGCAATAGGCTAGAATGTGTATATTTTTTAATTTTCTAGTTGCATTTCGGATTCAAATAAAAATCCTATTGCATTGTAATAAAATGATAAAATATGTTTTTAATAATAGTATGAATACAAACGCGTATACGTAATTTAATATTGTATGTGCAAATTAGGAATACGATGTCTCAAATTGCACCAGATTAAGCTTGAAAAATTGGTCGAATTGGGTAATTGGTGGCGGTAGGGCTTATTGTGTGCCCGCGCGGGTAGGTATAATAGCCGGCAAACTTCTTGAGCATTTGTTGACGTAGAGGGGGTAAGTTTGCGCATGGTACACTCACGTGCAAAAACATTATTTACTCTGCGTCATAATGCAATTAAATTATTAAAATCAAAATATGTATTTATTTATATATTTATGAGAACATCAACAAAAAATATAGGTTAATAATTGTAATAATTTAATCTTGGGGTAAAATAAATATTCCTTCTATTAAGTCAAAACTAGAGCTGTTGCCAGGCCTTGGTTAAGTTGAAGCGAAGCTCGTATTTGTATATTTTTTTTTCGTTATCATAATCTTGACCATCATCATCACTGTTTTTATCACCCGAGTTGCTATCATCGTGATGAGTCGACATAGGGATCATCGGTGTAGTTTACAACTCGGTCGGTTCGGTCTACTTTTTTGTCTATAATTAATTATTTTTTGAAGATATTCGATTCGTAGTAATCGAATGTAACTTTTTTCAATTACCACTTCCGATTATTTTCTGTTTTTTTCCATCTGAAGCCTAGCTCTTTCATAATTCGTCGTAAACTTCATACCGAGCCATTAAAATTTATATCTTCTTTAATTTTTCGAAGCCTTTCTACGGTACGGAGTTTCGCTGCTTGTTATGTAGTTATTATGATTACATCTTTTTATTACAGATTTTTTTTGAATTGAATTGTCGCGGCATAGTGTATTTTTATAAAAAATCAACAAACACTCAACAAATAGCAATGGCAACAAAGTCAACCAACAATTATAACAAATAACTTAGCGATTAATAACGATAGACTTTTCACTGTACGCAAGCGTACTTTTGGGAGCAAGCGGAACGAGGGCGCGATGCGGGGCGCAAGGTTCGACTGATCTACCAATAACGCGCTCGATACGATTTCCCCTGCCGTCGCGCCTCACCCTCACCACCAAAGTGATCTAAAATTCGGTTCTGCGCAGTCAAGGTCATTTGCTCAAGAAGTTTGCCGGTTACTATACCACTATCCTGTTTCTAACGTGAAGCAGTCGTGGCTTAAATAATGAGACACTCGTTGCACAATCTATTGGAAAATTCGACCTCATGTCTCAAACCCCCGTCCCTGCCTCAAAGGTCCGCTCAACTTCAGATAGATTGTGAACTTTGTCTTAATAGTGATTATGCAAACGATAGTTCGTGACAATGTAAGAGCTCTGGAAAGAGACCGCTCAGAGACTACAGCTTTCCGTCTCTTTCATTTACTGACATGTGACGTTTCCAAATGTCACGAAATGTGTAATATATTCATTACCCACGATTATGTATTTAGTAATAAATTACACGATTGTCCAATTCTATAATGAAACATTTTTACATGGTAAAGTATAAAATTATCAAACGCGGTGCATTTCGACATAATGAATTACAGTTCAAAATATCTTAGCGATTCTGAATTATTAATTTGCAATATATTCAAGATCAACAAAATATGTACCTGACGAATATAAAATTAAGAAGTTGTAATAGCAACATAAAAATGCTTTTAATAAAATATTAGTTTGAAAAAGTTTGAAAAGAAATTGCAATATATTTAAAAAAAAAAAATCGACGGGTGGATAGGCTATTTGGTTTTAGCGACATTTTTGCAACCTTACAGGAGAGCCATTTAAAGTTTAAAATTTGAAAAATGTCACAAAAAACTTAATTCAGCTATTTGAAAAGAGTAAACTTAATTGAGAATCAATCAAAGACATCGAACTGTTGATGCTAATACCAAATAAAACCTTTGATTACAAGACAAATGTCGCGTATTAATTAAGCGAAATGTCGCTGTCCGAAACCAATCTGTGGGTTTTGAGTTTTTTTGCCACGGCAACACTGGACGCCGATTGACGCGGGCATTTGTCACATCTCGGTTAGCAAGATAGATTCGCGAGTCGGCCGCGTCGCTACGCCGTTCTCATCAGCACCTACTCTCCCTATCACATCCTCACCCTGAAACCTCCTATTCTAAGGCGCGATACTACGAGGTCATCGGTTCGTGGTGAGTGATAAGCTAATAATATATTAAGAAAATACATTACAGCACCGCGCGATCGCGGCACGTGTTTGACAGGCCCCTCGTGCTGGTCTCCGGAGCTCACCAAGGGGGCTGGATTCGGATCGAACAATCGCTTCAACCAAATTCCCTCTCACCCCTCAATATTAAGATTGCGTAATCTTGATAGGGCGTTCAGCTGCGTGACCGGTTGGGGGTGGTGTACGGCTATCTGACCTTGTTGCGGTGGGGTGCGAAGTGGAGAATGAAGTGATCCATGCCATCGGCCTTGACGTGGACCAGTGTCAGGAGTATGCTGACTCCATTCTTCTGTGGGTGGCCGATATTAAGAAGCAGTCGTCTTCGGGTGGTGATGGAGGTTCGGGATCTTTGTCAGGGGTCATATCACCTCCTACCATGTACCCCCTCCATCGACCTGTCGATCTTGAACGAGTGGGTCGACTTTATAAATTTATTTGACAGCCTGGTCCACGATCGGTCGGACCTGACTGCCTCTTACAATATGGCTCACCTTCAGAGGGCTCTGTGGGGTGAACCTAGAGAATTGGTGGCACACTTGCCTATCACCAATGTAGCTATGCGCTCACACGCCAGATCTTATTCGACCGATACCAAAATAATCGACGCATTGTAGACGCTCAGCTGGCCAGGTTGTTTACAATACCCAAGCTATCTCGGGCTTCCAATATTAGAACCGAGGTTTTGAATCCCGTTACGGTGGCCACTAAGGCCTTGGGCAACTTGGGTCTACCGGTAGACTAATGTTCATACCTGCTATTCTACATTGTTGCAGGCAGGCTGCCGGTGAAGGCGCTCGCCCGGCTCGAGCAGCAAAGCCGTACAGGTAGGAACGATCTACCTACCCTGGCCAATCTGTTGTCGTTCCTGGAGGCCGAGAGCCGTGGGTACAAAAATATGCCGTCGCCCTCCTCTGGGTCGCGTAGACCGGGTTCAGACCACGCCCTTTCGAGTACTCAGAGGGGAGGGGGGAATGGCAAGAAAGGGCGGTCTCGCCGTCTGTCCGCGCTCATGGCAGTGGCGGAAAGCCCGCAGTGTAGCTTCTGCCATGAAAGCGGGCATGACGTATCATCGTGTCCAAAGTTCCGGTCGACGCGCATCAAGGGCAGACGCAACATCGTTGCCCAGCGACGATGGTGTTTTTTTTGTTTCGGGCCGCACACGGCAAGCGTCTGCACACACCAGCAGCTGTGCCCGAACTGCAACGGTCGGCACCATGCCCTGTTGTGTCTGGAAAATGCGGTCATACGGGCGCAGCCAGCCAGCCTCGCCGACCGGTGAGGGTACCGATCGTGACTCTCGCCAATGTAGAGGCCTGGGTGGTCGGGAGGTGGCTTCGGTGGAGCCAGACTTCGGCCGGCCGGCCGAACCAGGGTCGCCAGCCGGGACTTCAATGGGGGGATCTAGCACTTGAGGCATCGGGGAGAGGCGCCTGGAGAGTGGTGCTGCGGGCCGGTACTAGCCAGATTTTGGATTCGGATGGCAACACTGTGCTGGCTCGAGCTCCGTTATTATATTCCGGTGCGCATGGCAGTATTGTCGAGCGATCTTGCAGTACGGTTGGGCAATCCTATTTACAATTATTCTCATTTTATTCGTAGGGTGGGCAATGTTAAAATTTCGGACGTTACCGGTCAGTCTTTGTTTATTTTCTCACCGAATCCTAACCCTCGCTTACGGTTTAATGTCTCGGCTTTGGTGATGCCTGAGGTGATATGTCGACACCCTCCGGTGAAGTTGAATAATTCGGTCATTGGTGTCAGACTTACGGCTAGCGGACCCCAAGTTTGACACACACCGAAGCCAGTAGATTTTCTACTTGGGGCAGATGGGCAGCTCGAGGAAGGCAGCGAAGACTTGACTCTTGTCAATAGAGCGGCGCATGAAGCACGATTCGGTGTTCCGGCAAAAATATATGGAGTTTATGCGGGAGTATGAATCCTTAGGTCACATGTCTGTTTCTAAGGTAGACTGGAGTGCTACAGAGCAGTGTTTCCTCCCGGACCGTGCAGTTTTGAGAACTCCTAACGGTAAAATTAGGGTCGTGTTTTACGGTCCGGCCGCGACCTCCTCCGGCGTCTCGTGGGCCGACGCACACGGCACTGCGATCGCACGGTCCTTCGTGCTGGTTTCCGGAACCCTAGGCTCACCAAGGGGGCTGGATTTGGATCGAACAGTCGCTTCAACCAAATAGCCTTTCACTCCTCGATATTACTTAAGTTTTTTTTTTTTTTTCTTTTACTTTTTTTTTATTGCCCTTGTAGGCAGACGAGCACACGGCCCACCTGATGGTGCGTGATTACCGTCACCCATGGACTTCAGCAATGCCAGGGGCAGAGCCAAGCCGCTGCCTACCGAACTTAATCTCTGCTGTTTATCAATGTATAAACCATATAAAAAGTATGTTACACATTAAAGCCATCAATAATGCTGTAGTCTTACTTAATATAACTAAGAAGACTTGCAAGCGCATTAATGTATCTGAAATCGGAAGTTTTCTTAAAATTTCAATGGCTCTCAGAATTTTCTCATTTTACATCGGAAAGGATGAAAGTGATATTTTTTACAAATTGAACAAGTGTACATAGACTGATATATAATTGACCTATTAATATAGTTTCATGAACACCATATCGTTATATAGTTTAATATGTTATGTAATATTAAATAAAATAACTATCATACAAGAGTATAAGGGGACAGTTTGATCCATATTCGATCCAGACATTTGCATCGTGTAGATTCAGTCTTCGTAACTTCAAAAAGTAGAAAATTACTAATTTCCTTTAACCGGTACATTTCGTCCCTAATGTCTAATCTGTACTATGCTGGTCTGGAAAGAAATACTCTTCGGGGTGCTTTCGGAGCCGCATGATTTTCTTTCTTCATCATGTAGAGTCATGTGCTGCGAATAGCGGTTTGCTTGTGTCCCCAATATAATGTCTATGGGCGATGACGGTAACCATTCACTACCGGGTGAGCGATATGCTCATCAGCTTTTCGTGAGGAAAAAAAGACCTCAATTGAAGATAGTAACTTTGAGACTGCACTGCTAGTTCAGTCTCCTAATTGAAGCCAGTTCTCGCTAATCGCTAAAGCCAGTGTGACAGATGTGACTTTTCATGACAATGAAGAAAGTTAAAATAGTGCTTTTTCTATCTACCTCACATAGCTCTTTCTCTAGTTATCAGTCATTTTGATATTAAAAAGTTAATTTAAAGGCTGAAATAGACATTGTTGTTGTAACTATGAAAAAAAGTTGTAATATTGTTATTGAGATTTTGAATTTTAAGTATGTACAATAATAATATTAGGTATAATGAAACCAAATAATTGTAATAAATTTAAATATAAGGAGAATATTCGCCGTCAGTATCCAACGCACACTGACTTGGTGAATAATAAATACAAAAAAATATTTTTATACTGAAGTCATGTTTTTTATTTTGTTATCAAATAAAAAGATATAAATCTTTTTTTATTTGTTTTTGACAATAAAACCACATAGAGTTATAATATGGTTTGTGAAACTGATGAAAAGAAAATTGAATCTAGTTACTATAAATTTCATTAAATTGACAAATATTTATTATGTGAATCAATTAGTAAGCTAATTTCTCAGGGAGTTGCAGAAGATGACAGGACATTTAAAAAAGTTCATTTTGTAATCATAATGTCTTAAAAATAGTATTTATTAACAAAGGACTATTACAGTTTACCTGTTGTTAATATTGATATATTTTAATACATCAATGGTTGTTAAGATACATTTCCTCTATACATGCCAATTGCTTGGTTAATTGAAAATTATTTAAAACAATAGAAAATGATATTCTCGATAACTTTATTTTGAAGCAAATATAATACATGTTTTTAGGGTTACAGTAACTTTATACTACTTAAACTAATATCTATACATAATAAAGATGTGAGCTTGCACGGTTGTACGTAATCACGCAATAATGCCTAAATAGATTTGGATTTAATTTCACACAAAGATTGTTTATAACTGGATTTAAAGCATACTTTTTTGATAATAAATGAAATAAATATCCAGGACAACGACGGTATCCGCTAAAATAAACGACTCTTTATGACTGCTTTATGCATCAGAATGTTATTTACTTCTCTCAAAACGGAATATGTGTAATTATTTCTGAATTAAAAATTTAACGCGGGTGAAACCGCGGAGCACGTTCCACATACATCTAATTTAAGGCACCGCACACATTTAGCACTGAAAATGTTCACATACAAAAATTCGAAAACTAATAATGTAGCACTAGCTTAAATATTTTAAAATATGTTACTAAACAACTCAACATTAATTAGGATCAACACATTTAACTAGGTACAATGCTGAGTATTATAATAAAACAATGAGTTTATGATTAGTGAAGTCTGAGCCTGATTTGTTCAGGTCCAATTGATTTTAGAGAATAGTTATAATTTATACATATATCTAAAGTACTGCTCATTTTATCAACGCGCGAACATGCATATAGGATGGGCAGAGGTGATGAGTAGTTAAAATGACATTACCTAATGTGGATGAAGACAAATATGAGATAGGGGGTAATGGTAGATACTGAGACTCGTAAAGGCCAATATAAAGCTTATGCCTGGAATAATGTAAACTAAAAGAAGCATTACTGAATATTTTGCGGTAGGCAGCGGCTTGGCTCTGCCCCTAGCATTGCTGAAGTCCATGGGCGACGGTAACCACTCACCATCAGGTAGGCCATATACTCGTTGGCCTAGAAGGGCAATAATTTTTTTTAAATATCGATGCCTCCAATGAACACTACTCTAACTCAAAATTTTGAAATTTTCGTTTTTCACGCAAATCGCTTCACTGTGTTAAAAGTATTATATTGAATCATTATTGATGGGGTTCGGAGCAAGAGTAAATCAGCTAGTTACACAAAAAAAACATAAATATATCTGCAATAATAAAGATTTTATCAACTTTTTTCGTTTAAAGGCTCCTCCTGCAAATCTACGAATTTGGAGTTAGCGTAGTGTTGATTGGAGGCATCGATATATACATCAAAATACAATTTCATTGTATTCAACATAGACTACAGGCCTTTTTTTCTATATGTACAAAATGTGCAGAAACATAACTAATTATTAACTACACATTTGGTTAGTCTTTTATGCAGTTTTCTACACCAGTCTCGAACTATGTGCATAGCAGTGGCCACTGGTGGATGGCGGGGTAATGCCCTGGTTTATCAAATTCATAATCTCAAGCATTCAACAAACTAAGGAAGCTGGCGGACTCTTATATGAACTAGGTTAATGATTACAAATATTTATGGAGAGAGAACAAGAAAGGTCTACAAAGACCATCGAGTCTTAAAAGGATTTTACACCCACCCACAGGATAACAACCATTCACAACTGGCAACCCTTCAAACCAAAATACATGATTTGCTTCACATCAAAAATAGGTTGAACAATTGCTGACTTCCCACACAACCTGACCAGTAAAAACTTAGTATTTAACTATTAGTGCTAAACATTGAACACACAGGCAAGAAAACCACTAATAACTAATAATAATTAAAATTAATGACTAGTCTTAGAAATATCTGGTGCCATATAATTTACAGTGAACATTTGGCATTCACATCTAATATCCAAAAGATTATGATTACATATCGGCTACAAACAGTTTTGGTAATTCAGATTCTAACCTAATTACTCTAACAACAGAAGTTAAGTGCCAAGAATCATTTGGGTTTGAATTTTTTGCATTATTTGATTCAGGTGCTGCAAATGTGCTATAATAAGATATTAACTCGTGTGAGTGATCACTGTCCAGATCAGCAATCATTAATGATTGTTCTTGATATTCTAAGTCAGGCTGACATAGTGGTAACTGTAAATTTTTGTCTACCGGCCCACGTAGACATATCTGCACTAGATCAGTTTGACTCACATTCACATTGTGTGTCTGTAATCTATCAAAAGAGACTAACACAATTCTCTCAGATATATCATAGACTGTAAAGTTAGGGTACCTAACAAATGATGTTATTGAGTCAACATTTACTGCTGGTCGGTAATAAAACGCTTCATATGGATCCTTAGGGCTCTGGTTCTGTATATTGTATCTTATTTCTTTGGCTTTCAGTGCACTACTTGCTAAGTGTGCACTATTCCACTGTCATAATTTCAATACAAAACCTCGTATAGAATTGGCGAAAGCAAAAGTACTTGGTTTCATTGCAAACACATAATTTGCTGTGTACTCCCAGCTGACTGTACTGCTGCCGTTTCTGTCCAGCAATAAAGTTAAATTCACTTTACATGAATCAGGGCATTCTCCAGAATTTTCAACAATTAGTTTGCCTGGACCGTTTGAATATAGAACACGGGTATTTCCAATACTTTTCTTAAAATTGATGTTAACTTTTTTATTAATTGGCTTCGCATGCTTAGTATGATTTGCATGCTCAACGGTCACCAGTTTTTTATACAACACTGAATATTCTTTGTCCCTTACAGCTTCTGTAGCACCATTCTTGCAAATATANCCAGAATTTTCAACAATTAGTTTGCCTGGACCGTTTGAATATAGAACACGGGTATTTCCAATACTTTTCTTAAAATTGATGTTAACTTTTTTATTAATTGGCTTCGCATGCTTAGTATGATTTGCATGCTCAACGGTCACCAGTTTTTTATACAACACTGAATATTCTTTGTCCCTTACAGCTTCTGTAGCACCATTCTTGCAAATATAGGAGATTGTTTCAGAGACTGAAATCAATTTAACTGTCAAACAATCATTCATTACAAGAGGTTCTCCAATGATGTTACCTGTTGCACCTGATATGACTAGTAGTGAATTATGATTAGTATTTGGGTAAACAGTAGCAACTGTAAGCAGATCGCTCACATTATCTTTATCCATATCTTTCATTACAATCGGAAAATCAATTGCAGCTATATTGCTAAGTACTTTACCTTGTTTATGCATGTACCAATAGTAAGTACCTGCAAGAGGGCTAATAGCGGCAAGTAAACCTTCCGAACCAGAGACAATACAATCTTTAATCTTGTCATTGTTTACATCAATCAAATGGCAGTTGATTTCAGTTGGTATTCTACTCTCACGAGTGTACCATCCCACTTTACCTGTGTTTCCAACAATTAACAATACTCCATTCACATTATCATCATTAAGTGAATCCTTTCTCATGTGGTTCCCACGATAAATAAATATTAAGTTTTTAGTAAAAGGGATTGCACCGTCAACGACCTGCACCGCTCCTGACAATTCAACTTCATCGTAAGGAAACTCCCAGCTAGTTGTTTTGTCCTGCCATTCAGCACCTGGGCAGCTACCGAAATCAGAACAAGGTATACCCCACAAGAACACGATTATTACAATAATACACAGAAGAATTGAAGTGATGAACGCGAATCTTCGTGGTGTTGATAATTTGCTGGACATATCGGATTGTAGGAAGCTCACATTATCCATGGTGCTCTCCATAGTGTTAAGGTTGCTGTTAAAATCGTCCATGTCACTCATACTATTCCTAGATACCAACAGACCGGTGTTGAAATCCATATTTCTTCCGTCGCCGGCTTGAACTGCATTTTCCAACTTGTTGTCATCTTCTGACTCTGATTCCGATAGTATTTGCTTGAGAGGTGCGTAGTTGGCACTATTCCCATTCGTAGTCATGGCGCACTTTTGTATTAAATAGCTTGTGTTCTATTTAGTTACATGGTTGTTGATTAGTGCTTGGTTTTTATCTATTGTTAACTCGTTCAGTTTTAATTGATAAATAAGTAGAAATCAATAATTCTCTGACACTTGAATATGTTGCTTAACATGACACTGACAGTCTGACACTTGAGACCAGCGTGACCAGATTTCATTTGACGAATCTACTGCTTGTGGAGCATTTGTGGAGGTTAAGAGCTACTGAATTGTACCAAAAGAGAACGAGAAAATACTAAAAAAATCTATTATAACTTTTTTGCTGTCGTGCTATGACGTAAAAACACGAATGTTTCCTTGATTAAACGATAAAATAATAAAATAAACAAAGAAACCGCCATTAATTACTACTGTCGTAGCCCCCTTTTCTGTGCATTATTGCAGCAACATTCTTATTACTACATCGATTTCGATCTTCCTATCCTATTAATATTGGAATTTATTCTTTCTATTTTGGCGTTTGACAAAAGTAGTATCATCATTTGCTTCACAAATCAGGATAAATTGCTATAGGTACTTTGGTTTGCTATTCGCATCACAGATTTGGCTGACTCCATTCCAAAATTTATTCACCATAAAAGCTTCAGACGTCGAACTAGAAGTTGACAATAAATTAAAAGACAAGAAAAATATTTATTTTAAAAATATGTAAGCTTGAGGGTAGACATTATCTTGTTGAACACCAAGTAAAACGATGTCAATTTTTGGTTCCTGATTTAATCAACAATATGTTATCTTAACAATTCACTTTCACACTTGTCCAACTTTAACCAGTACGTACAACAGTCACTGAATCACACAACGTAACAAGGATATAGTAAGTGCACCAGGCAAGCGCAGTCCAACGAATGNTGATGTAAGCTTGAGGGTAGACATTATCTTGTTGAACACCAAGTAAAACGATGTCAATTTTTGGTTCCTGATTTAATCAACAATATGTTATCTTAACAATTCACTTTCACACTTGTCCAACTTTAACCAGTACGTACAACAGTCACTGAATCACACAACGTAACAAGGATATAGTAAGTGCACCAGGCAAGCGCAGTCCAATGAATGTCCATTGCGAGCCACGTACCGCCTTTTTATACTGGCCGGCGCAGCTGGCTTATTTATGAGTCACTTCTGTTGCACCTGTTGTTTATGAGTCGAACGACACGGCCGGCGCACCTGGCTTGTGTGAGTCACTCCTATTGCACGTGCTAAACAGTAATATCGTTAACGCCGTCAAATATATATTTGTGTTGTGTTTCACGGCACGAATGGTAATGAAAACATTTTTTTTTATTGCTTAGATGGGTGAACGAGCTCACAGTCCATCTGGTGTTGAGTGGTTACTGGAGCCCATAGACATCTACAACGCAAATGCCGCCACCCCACCCTAAGACATGAGTTCTAAGGTCTTAGTATAGTTACAACGGCTACCCCACCCTTCAAACCGAAACGCATTACTGCTTCACGGCAGAAACAGGCAGAGTGGTGGTACCTACCCGTGCGGACTCACGCGAGGTCCTACCACCAGTAAAAAGAATGAAAATTAAATAGTTACAATCCATTTGATAAAAGGGGAAATACCCCAAATTTATCCTATATGCCTAAAAGTACTAGAATAACGGAAAAGCGTGAATTCTACTAAAATATACCAAATAATTTTTACATACTATATTCTGTTGCCAGTACCTAAAAATCTACCATAAAAGTAGAAATCTACTAAATCTGGTCATGCTGCTTGAATCTTTTTTAGTTTTTTTAAGGGATGCTATGGCCTGGTAACTAAGACCTTTAGGTCAAGTCTTATTTTAATTTTAATGAAAACTTTTTTTTACATGAAAGATGATATTATGAAATAAAATGAAGTTGATTAATATGAAACATGGCATGAAATGAAATGAGATGGTATGGGATGAAATATAATCTCAGTAAAATGGTGATCATCTACTTAGGATTTTCAGCAGAAAAATCTTTGGAGGATCCCAAGAAGTTACGTTGAGCGGCTTTGTTTCATTTTGCACATTTGTGCACTTTTACAGATACTAAACAATTAATAAATCACTGTTATTACACATTTAAACCTGAAGAAACACTAAATAGACAAAATAAAACAAATCACAGAACTTCACTCCTCGCGTTCCCGCCAAAAAGTCCACTTTTTTACTTGACAGATGACTAAAATAGATCAAAGATGAAAGTAAAGCGAAGGTTATTTCTGCTTTAAAGATCGTATTGTTTTCAGAGATACAACCATCCAGCCTATTTACCCTGTTACAAAATCATGCAAACGGTTTTAGAGGGTGGGATAGTCGTTATTCTCTACAATTGGGACTTAAATCGTGTCTCTTGGTGGATGGCGCCATAAGTGTTATGACATTCTTGAGTTCCGATAACTGCATACCAGAAGGACACAGCCGTTCACTTATTAATGCAATTACAAAAAATTCTAACCCTTTCCACGCGGTAAAAAAACTTGTTTGAAAGCTGACCAATGTTTTGGTTTGCTGATTTCTTGATGCAGTATAAAATTTTATGAGAAACGACTAATAGCTACAAAATGGAAATCTGTAATATTCAGGTGTCAATACGTTTTCAAATGTTTCTATTAAATGAGCCGAACAACTAATCAATTTGTCTTCATTTTTCTTTTTCTTGCCCAAACCCCACATTGTAAGGGGTGGGCGCAACATGGCCTCTTATCCATTCAGGCCTATCATACGTCATCTCTGCACTCGCCCCGTTCTCTCGAATGTCGTCTTCCTTAAAGTCCGTCCAAGTATTTTAAGAACGCCCCCTCCTCACATTACCGTTTTCTTCCATACATGTAAGAACATGGGTCCTACAAGAAGGTTATTGCCAGGGCGAAGTTGGAGCACGTTGCTAAAGTTGACGAGTGAATAAAGAGCTCTCTCTGGGAGCCGGGCTTTTTGGTCGTTCGCTAAAGCTGCAGAAGGAAACTTTTGCAGGCCTAGTTTCCCACCACTGCGCAAGTTCGATGACAATCTGGTCCATAGTGCGAAAGAGAAGGCTGAACTTCTTAGTCAAACTCTTCACCTCGAACTCGATTGTGGACGACGGGGTTGCCACACCACCGAACATCCCCCGGTGTGATAGCTACCTGCCGGAGATCTGTTTCACACAGCGTGCAGTCAGGCGGGAGCTCCGACTCCTAGACGTCCATAAGTCGAGTGGGCCAGACTGCGCCTGACATTGCTGAAGTCCATAGGCAACAGTAACCACTCACCATCAGGTGGGCCGTATGCTCGTCTGCCCACAGGGTACTAAAAAAACTGCATTCACGTAGTGGTTTTGAAAATGTGCGCCCCTGAGCTGACACCTGCGATATCGCGTTTGTATCGCCTCTCTTATTGCACTAACAGGGTTCCGTCTTCATGGAAGACCGCCCACGTCCACCCTATTCCCAAAAAGGGTGACCGGTCGGACTCATCGTGCTATAGGCCTATCGCGATAACTTGCTTGCTTTCCAAGGTGATGGAGCGAATAATAAATATACAACTCCTGAAATATCTTGAAGATCGCCAGCTGATCAGTGACCGACATTACGTTTTCCGTCACAGCTGGCGATTTTCTTGTATACCTTACTCACGGGTGGGCTGAAGCCTTGAAGAGCAAGGGCAAAGCTCTCGCTGTGAGATATCGCGAAGGGCTTCGACAGGGTCTGGCATAGGGCACTTCTGTCAAAGCTACCATCTTACAGAATCCCCGAGGGACTCTGCAAGTGGATTGCAAGCTTTTGGATGGGTGGAGCATCACAGTCGTTCTTCTAGACGTTGACTACTCCGATACCATGACCATTAACGCTGGCGTTCCACAAGGTTCGGTGCTCTCCCCCACGCTTTTTATCCTGTATATCAATGACATGCTACATATTGATGGCATGCATTGCTATGCGGATGACGGCACGGGGAATGTGCAATATATTATATCGGCCATCAGAGTCTCTCTCGGAACGTGGTGAGAGACGATCAAAACTTGTGGCCGAAGTGGAGAGCTCTCTGGTGGCGAGTCTCCGAGTGAATGAACTCAATGAAAACAGTTCCTCAATTTACTTAGTCTGGCCATAAATACTGTTACAAAGGGAAAAAAAAATTCTATTGCAAATAACATTTATTACTTTTACAGTGTGTTAATTTAATACATAAATATAAAACAATTTAAAGTATAAAAAGCTTATTCGAAGTGGTCTCCATTAGCTGCAATACAGTCCTTTTAACGTTGAGGCCAGTTATCAATAGAAGCACGCACTCTTTCCATGGGAAAATTTTTCACTGCCAATCGTACGGATTGTTTTAGGGACTCCAAATTATCATGGCGTTTAAAGCAAGCCGTACTCTCTAAAACTGACCATAAATCATAATCCAGCGGATTAAGATCGGGACTAGACGACGGCCAGTCTTCAGCTCTGATGAAGTCCGAAACGTTCGTTTCCAACCAAGACTGCGTAGACCGAGCTTTATGACCTGACGCCGAGTCTTGCTCGAAGGACCATTCTTGATTATTGAACATGGTGTTTTAAGGGGCTTCACTACCTTCTCAAGAATGGTATCTTGATACACTTGTGCCGATGTTTTGATACCTTTTTCGCAAAAGTATGGCTCAGTCACTCCTTCATAGCTAATACCCCACCAAACCATCACTGAAGTCGGATAGTGCCCACGTTGCACTCTGTCGACTAATTGGGAAACTTCCTTAGAGCTTTGAGCATAAATACGGTCATTTTGTTTGTTAAAATGTTGCTCAATTGTAAAAATTTTCTCATCCGTAAACAAAAATTTTCTATGACCTCCCTTTGCGTACCGCTTCAGTAGTTGTTTTGATTTTACCACCCTATTCTCTTTTAAATTATTAGTTAAGAAATGACCAGTACGTCTCTTATAGGCTGCAAGTCCTAAGTCATCTTTTAAAATACGCGACATGGTTCTAGGTGCTATCTTCATCTCCCGAGATAAAATCTTTTGCTTTCGGACAGGATTTCTTCGAATTCTTTCCCTTACTGCTTTGACCACCTTTTTCGTACGAATACTACGTGGACGGCCAGATCTTTTTCTGTCACAAGCAGAGGAGGTCTCATTGCACCTATTAATAGCCCGGTACACAAACATTTTACTAATACCAAGCTTATGGAGAGTTTTAAAAATTGCATTTGGCTGCATACCTACTTTGTGTAATGCAATCACAGCGATTCGGTTCTCTTTATCACCCCACTCCATTTTAATATCGCGAAATATTGTACAATGTGTTGGCGCCAAAATGAGAAAACTCAATGAGCAATCATATAAAAATGACAGATTCCAAATTCAAATGTAACATTTTGTTTATTTTTAATTGTAACAGTATTTATGGCCAGACTAAGTATAAGCGGATCACTGGTACTTATCCCAAAAGTGAATGTCACGGGTTAAGGATGCCTAATACCGAAAATGATTCTCCCTTAGCGGAAGAATACCTTTTTGAGAAACGAAAAATTGCCAGTATTGTAATAAATAATGGGTGTTATTTCTTATTATAGCTTTATCATACCAATAGGTAATAAATAAATAGTGAAAAATTAAAATACAAATTTAAGACGTAATTTTATATTATCATTTTTCGTATATAAATATTTTGCAGTTTTCTCGACACACATTAGTCTGTAAATCTCTACATAAGTTTGTTCTACTATTATGTCCCACTTATTTAATTGGAGTTTCCCTTCCCTTACAAAATGTTACAAAAATAACATGGATTCAGCGAGCATAGGATATTATAAATATAGATTATAAACTATACTTTACTTTTTTAAGGCCGAGCTTTAAGGATCATGGTACTTACTATTTGGTACTTATTATGCAATCCGTCTTACACTGTACATAAAAGGAGAGTTAGCAGATTCAAAATAGAAAGTAGAATTAAATAATAATGGAAGCTAAAAATATTTATGAAAGCTGTCAATGTCACTTGTGTCAAAAATAACAAGTGAAAATGTTTTAAAAGCTTTTAGGATTACAGCTCATCATCATTATTATATGAGATTATACAAAGATTATTCAATATAATTTATAAACCATCCTCTACAAACAACATGATAATATTTATTACTGGCCAATACTCCCCCCACCTAACAAAAATAAACTATGCCCCTAGTCTAATTTTTATACAAAATTAGTAAAACAAACTTTCTGTTTTTGCACACATTTTTTAATAAATAAATTATTGGTTTGTGAACCAAAAAAGATAAATGTATAAATTATATCCATATTTTAATCAAGTATATGATTATTAAATAAATAGATATCTTTTTTTCTACATATTCAGCCTCAAAAAACAGTTGCATACATTCATTTAAATATATTGTTATTTTTTTATTTAACGAATGGCACTTTTATTTCTAACTTGTATTTATGTAAGGATTATCACACATTGAACGTTTTCGCATGACAATTTTATTTAGATTGATATTACCACCCAAAATATGTTAAGTAGACATTCTGATCAAACCAGCATGTTGGTTCTTTGATATTCTAATTTAATCATAATAAAATCATTTCCGTGCAAAGGAAGCTGATTTTATTATTATTGATAATATAAATGAAAACTGTCTTGATTGTTTTTCTACAATGTTGGTGTACTTCACACAAAATTGTTTAATGAGTGAAAACGCTTACATCAATCTAATTTCACAGACAAGTTTATTTGTTCTCGAACAAGAGACATGTTGAGATAAAAAATTTGAATCCAATAATGAAAAGGACAGACAGACCACACATATAGGAACAAAGAACTAAAAAGTTTGAAACTAACTTAAATATTAAACGAGAAATAAATAATTATAAATTGATATACTAATTTACTATAAATGTGATGATCGCTTAAGACAATGGACAAGATAAGGCATTAGTGAACAATTTGCTAAAATAATAATATCAGCAGAAGGTCTAATGATTCGATTTTTTTATTGTTACATTATTTATGTAACATAACGCATGACTNACTAAAAAGGTTGAAACTAACTTAAATATTAAACGAGAAATAAATAATTATAAATTGATATACTAATTTACTATAAATGTGATGATCGCTTAAGACAATGGACAAGATAAGGCATTAGTGAACAATTTGCTAAAATAATAATATCAGCAGAAGGTCTAATGATTCGATTTTTTTATTGTTACATTATTTATGTAACATAACGCATGACTATCTTGCACAGTTTGAAGAAAAACAAATGATATACATACCTCATTTCTTAAATTGCAATTATATTACAAATTGTTTTTTTAATGTATAATTAACTAAATACTTTTTTAATACTATAGCATCAATCGCCACAAGTACAAGACGGTCATACGGTTTATAAGATGCTCAAATTATTTACAGGACTAACTAATCTAGACGAGAAGTGAGTCAAGATCTTCCAATAGATTTGAAAGGCATCAGTCTTGCGCTAACATCCTTTAAACAACACTATATACAGACACAGAATTGGCTTAAAAATTGCGTAAAATTTCACTAAATACCATAGTTGAGTCCCATATTCAATACTTATTTTTATTACATTAAATCACTAATATAAATTATAATGTTAATCGATATAATTATAATAGGAGCCGGCCCTTTCTAGCAACCTGTACTAGATATAAGATTTATTTTGTACAAAACAAAGAAATTAAATTAAATAATATTATGATAGTTATTCGGTGCGCGTTACATACGCTTGTAGGATTTAGGGTTGTCGATGTTAGACAAAGCGTTAGATCGAGTACGGATATTCGCCTAGGTAGTCTATTAGAGTGGAGGGGAGAGGGAGGAGCCTGTGTTTAGGAGCGCACCAGAGCTTGGGAGTGAGGGGGTTGGAGTCGAGGGCTTTGTGTACAGCGAGGCGGGCCGCGTGCATGAGAGATGGGGGGCTCTTCCTTAGTGGATGGGTGAGCAGCACCGGCGAGTGTGGACACCCCTCGCGGTCCACCCAAACCGTACCGGCCGCACCGCGCTGTCCCGCCCGTCTGTACTGCTGCACCATTTCCACCACGCATCTGAACCGGGGCATGTACCTAGCCAACGGTCTGTCACAATCTAACCTAAAATAGAAAATATTACGCAACTTATTTGTCAGTTTTTTTAAAAATCGTAACCAGTGTGCTTAGTGTGAGTTTTTTAACGTTATCGATAGCGTAAAAGTGAACATTTATAAAGAGTTGAAACGTTTGCCTAAGTTTGCCGCTAAGGGCCAGGTTCTAAAAGCATACAAATTTCAGTTAACATTTAGGCTATAGAGAACGTTCAAAAACTCGCACTAAGCACAATATACACTGTATATACAATGGCTTAATGTGTACGCTGTCTCGTTTGAAGCACGAGGTGAAAGTCTGAGTTTGTGTTATGAAACAATCGTCCCACTATTCACGTTATAATGCATGATTGCTTCACAGCAAACATAGACAAGATGGAGGATTAATACCGTGCGTTCTGACATTAAGCCCTGCAATCGGTATTGACGCAAACTTATAAACTTTTCGTTTTGATTTTTATTATAAAAGTCATCGTCGTCGAATAGGTTTCTCAGTACGTGTTAGTTAAATATACTTATTATGAAATATTATAACTGCCTTAAAGATTTTAGCCGTAGTCGTACCAAAGCCACATATTATGGTAGTTGATAGGCTTTATCTCGAAAGATTCTATATCGGGATTTGTTACGTATTTAACGTAAAAAAAAACCTAGATAGAAGAATCTTAATGTTCGCTGGCACTCATTATTGAAGTGATAAATATTTTTTCGGTTATTTTTTTTGTTATTTGCGTTTTTGTAATTTATGCGGTTTCAATAAAGTTTTGTATTCTAATCTATGTTAACTCTTTTTTTTTTGCTTAGATGGGTGGACGAGCTCACAGTCCACCTGGTGTTAGGTGGTTACTGGAGCCCATGGACATCTATAACGTAAATGCGCCACCCACCTTGAGATATTAGTTCTAAGATCTTCCTTCAAACCGAAACGCATTACTGCTTCACGGCAGAAATAGGCAGGGCGGTGGTACCTTCCCGCGCGGACTCACTCATATTTATCTTAATCTATCTCTAAAATTGCGATTAATAACGAATATTTCTATCATATTAAAATATAAGTAATCTAAACGCGGATGTTGTTTCTCAAACGAGCTGTCTGCTAAATTTTACTTAACCAATCGAAGAGGAAAATTTTGCCTAACGAACAGTCAATGAACATGATAACTGCGTGTGTGACATTAAAATATTTGCCTGCTCTGTCTGAAATTTACTCAATCGGGAAACCTTCGGCCGGAATTTTTCGTGATCAGCAATTGAATGAGTCCGCTACCGAATGACGCGCAGGTTTCGGGAAGTATTGACGTAACATTATATTACGCAACAAAAGTACTTTAATGTTATTTAATGGTGTTATTTCCTTTTGTTAACGTCCGAAAGTTATGTTTGAAATATATTTTTTTTAAATTTTTCTGTTTAGAAACAGTTATCTGCTGATAAGTTTTTCGTGTGCGACTTTAAATCGATTTAGATAGTTTTAAAATAGTAGGTGAATAACATTTTTTTTTTTTTAATATTTTACGCTAATGAAAACCGACCAAAATTCGCTGAAACAATCGCGATATATTATGAAATAAACGCGTCTTTAAAGGAAACACATTTGTCAGTACTCAACTTCTGCAAATACGCATCTGTCATAAAATATTTTCGCCCGCCTATTTCTGCCGTGAAGCAGTAACGCGTTACGGTTTGAAGGGTCGGGCAGCCGTAGTAACTATACTGAGACCTTAGAACTTATATTTCAAGGTGGGTGGCGCATTTACGTTGTAGATGTCTATGGGTTCCAGTAACCACTTAACACTAGATGGGCTGTGAGTTCGTCTATCCATAAGCAATCAAATAAATAAAAACATATCTATAACAAAATCAACATCTCTAACATAATGGTGACATATAAAAATTACCTGAAGAATCCTTGTTCGTAGTGAAGCCTCACGGATGTGGGGCCCCTTTCGGTTTGCACCGATAGTGAGAATATAAAGTTTCTATCTCCAGAGTCTCTCACGACAAAAGCTCCGACACTGGCGTCTTTTAACAATGTTCTCGCTCCCTGAGGAAAATGAGTAAATATTGAAATAAGTATCTATATCGTATTAACACAAAGCAGTTTCTTGGAAAAAGGGATTTCGTTTCAACATCTAACGTCTTAAGAAACTCGAAAAGCGTCTACCGTACTTTATGTGGGTTCACTAGTTTACGATAAAATAAAAAAGTGTGATTTTAATTTTTATTGCAGTGTAAATAAGGTTTATGTTCGGCTTGCGTTTATTCGTTTTATAAGCTTTATTCTGTTGGTTTCAAACTAGCAACATTCAGCGCTGCTTCAGAGAACAGTGTGCTTAGTGCGAGTTTTTTAACGTTGTCGATAGCGTAAAAGTTAACTCGTTTTTGTATGGAATGGGATCGTTTGACTACGTTTGCCGCTAGGGGCGCTGTTCCAACTACATACAAAAATTGAGTTAACTTTTACGCTATCGAGAACGTTAAAAAGCTCACACTAAACACACCGTTTACGTTTTGCTCGAAAACGATTGCGTTACGTTATAGGCCTTCAAATGATTCTACAACAGTACATCGTTGCCTAATATTGTGCGTGATTCGATACGATTCAAGACATTGAATTTAAAAATGTTTTAATAAATCTTTTAGTTTTCTCTATAATATTACGCCACGAGGTTGGCTCGATAGAAATAGTTATTGCCTTATTCAAGTTTGATGTCAGTAATGTTTCCCCGCGCAATTAACAATATGTATACCTAAATCTTATACCTTTAAACGAGCAATTCTTGTATATAATATATGTGTATGTATATAATCTGAATCTCGGAAACGGCTCCAACGATTTTCATAAAATTTAGTATACAGGGGATTTCGGGGGCGATAAATCGATCTAGCTACGATTTATTTTCAGAAAATGTTGTTTTATTCGTATTTTCAATAATCAACCTCTTCCCGACATCTATTGGCGAATAATAATAATATTTTTCTTAATTAAGGGCAACTAACCGCTAAAAGACACAACAAGATGGCGTTATCAAAAAAAAAGGTCATCATCTAGTATGATTAATTGGGCAAGTATCGAAGACACAATTTTTGTTTAAATTTCCAAATACTTTTCTACGATTTAGTAACGAAAAATAAAATTATATATCATTTACATAATATCCATAGATAGACGCCGTTGCATAATGATTCTATTTGGAATAAATGAAGACATTTTAAGGAAATTCGAAAAATAATTTCAAGTTCCAAGGTGTTGAAATTTATATTTAAAAAAAAAACTCAAATGATCTTTCATTACGTGTTATAGAGCTATATATTTATATGAGGATTTTTATCAGATAAAGACGACATTGAAGAATCTTAGGATCTATATACTCTATGTATCTAAAAAAAGATTCCATTGTTTATATAGCATTATGTGTTAGCACATACCTACTCGAGAACATGTTATTTGCAAAGTCATACGATTTTAGTGATACCAAGAACTAAACATTTCCTAAGTTTTCCTAAGTTTTAAGAAAACCATTTGAATCTTGCTATAACTTTACTCACCTACTAATTAATTTGACTTTATTAAGTTTATCTTAGAATTTCTGAATGAGTGCTAAGTGTCTTTGATTTTATCATAACCTTAGGCGGACCGTGAGCTCGGACTACCCAAAAACTATAATACAGTGAAAAAAAAAAAAGTTCACAGGCAAAATATTTCAAACATACCTGCCAATTCAAAGTATCGTAGTACCACCCAGAGAGCCTAAGCGCACTGAGGGTATCAGCAAGCCGCTTCAGTTCATCATTGTAAGGCGCCGGAACGATCGGTGATGGCGGCGCGTACAAAGGCGAATGTGGCCAATACGTTGGGGGGACGGTGAAAGGCGGCGTGTGCGGCGACGGCAACGCGTGACACTTGCCCGACGCCGGCGCGAGTGATACTCGCAGTTGGTGCCTGCAATTCGGACAGCATGCCACACCTGACGACCAGCCACCCAGAGGCACACCTACTTCCAAGCACGCATCTGCAAAGAAGAAATTCCACTATTGAAATGCATTTTTTACTACGGATGCGGTCTCATGAATTACAGCTATGCTAGGAGTATACGGGTAGTCAAACCGATATGTACCAGTTAGGCCTTTTTTTAAAAGTTGATTTGTAAAATAGGCAATTTGTAAATGAAATCACCTCAAAAATATAGAGACTGAAAAATATATACTAATAATAATTTAATAGCAATCAATGATTTTTTGAAATGTTATATCAAACAACAATCATCACAGTAAAGGAAGGGACGAAACCTTTACAGAAAAACACTTGTTCCACTATAATATAATAGTATTAAGTTGTAGCTAAAAAATAACCTACATATTATGGAGAGAATATTAACCATCTTTGGAGGAAAATTTATATAGATCACGAAGAAGTTATTTATTTTGCCTGCGCACAACATTATTAAGCATAAACTTTTCAGTGTGACTACAATACAAAGACAGACTTCAATTACAACTCATTATCTTTAATTTTTCTGTGAATTATTATAATATAACTTTTTTTAAATTAAATATTTATCAACACAGGTAAGGTGAATGAACAAAATACTTGATAAAATCAAGACATAATAAGCTGTTGTTATCAATAATATCTTAGTTATATAATTATCAATATTATTAAGTGACATAATAATGCATTTATAAGTGGCCACCTAATGTAAATATGATCAGGTAGGTGTAAGGTTGTTGTTTGTAATGGTGATTATTTTTATTGATTGCTTCAATAGCGGCAACTTAAGGTTTCCAATAATGATTCACTTCATAAGGCCATTTTAATATTACTATACTATGTATTATTATCAGAGATTCACACACTTGTTTATTTATTTCATTGTCAACTTCTATGATAGTAAAACAATTGATTGGAATTGATCCACCTTCAATCAGTCTCCTTTAAAAATCATAAAGCAAACCACTTCTAGGGAAATTACTTGTTTTATGATTTTCTTATTATTATAATATTTAACAAAAACAAAACAAATTGTTAAACCTTCTAAGTGATATCAAGGAATAGTGTTTAATTTTTACTTATATATGAAATGCAAGTGAAATTTCATATTCATGCATTTTTGAAGAGTAATATTTTTATTTGAAAAAAATCACTGATTTAACTATTTCGTTACGAAGTAATACATTTATTCACCATTCAAAAAGACAAGAGAAATAACGCATCAAGAGACTTGTAAATAACATAACTATCAACAACAACATAACAATCAACTTAGACCCTAGAAGAGGTATCCACAATACTTCTCAATTATGACTTCCCCCTAGATAAATGGAGAAACTTAAGAAAAAGCTCATTTAAATCAACGATATAAAAATGAGTCTAGATATCGAGACCTTTGTTTGACCAAAGACAAGAACTAGTCACAAAAATTGTTTAGTGTCATTTTTTATGCAAAATCTTATGCTTTCCTTCAAATACATTTTTTTATTTATTTCATGATCTCAAAATTGTTTAGTGTCATTTTTTATGCAAAATCTTATGCTTTCCTTCAAATACATTTATTTATTTATTTCATGATCTCCTTTTGGACTTTTCGTTAATTTTTCATATTATTATGGTATGCTTATCAGCTGTCAACACATGGTGTGCATGTTTGCCTTCATATCACACTATAATATCATAATGTGAACGCTGATAACAAGTTTCACTCGAATTTGCTAATTATTTTTTAGATTTAGTAAAAGGCATTTATTATTTACTCAAAAATATTTTATTAATTATATAGATCTATGAAATAGTCATAGAAATCCATATAATATAAATAACATTTTTTATCAAAATATTCTTGTTAATTAAAATGTCAAAATAATTTACCGTATTTAAATAACGTTGAAACTTACTTTGTGGGGTAATTCGCGCTGCAAGAGTCATATTTAATGGGCTTATTGTTGTCTCTCGCCTTTTAATTATGCACATTTGCTTTTTCTCCGGTGGACAGTTGTCTGATCCACCCACCTTATTCCCAGAGGCCACGGCTCACACTGTTTATTCCATGTAAAAATAACACAGCACTGTACGTTTAAAGCATGAACATTCACTGAATTCCTCTGTTTTTACTTTTTCAACTATTTACATTCCACAATGAACATTTTATGTAATTATTTTTGTTTTTAAAATGAAAGTTATTGTTTGTATTAAAATTCAAAAAGTAGACACTACGTTAGGTTACTTGAGAACTAGGGATGCACTCTTCCGACTGTCACGCACCGAGTATTTGGTAGTATCACTGACGCAAAATTTGTAATAGGTACCTCGATAACGAGGACACGAGTTGTCCTCGTAACGATATGAAACGGAATGAACAGAAAACACGACGCGACGCGCTAGTTATTACAATTTTATAACAAACAAGCGAGACGAGCGCGCAGCACGACTCTGCCATTATAAAGAAAATATGAACGGAATAGATAGAGTACGCTCTGCGGAGGTGGCGGGGGCCAGTTGCGGTGTGCGGGGGCTACCACTCGGCGCTCTCCATACCACGGTACCTATCATGTAGTCACATCTCACAGTGTTGTTCAACCTACCAGATAGCGTGCTATGGTCTCATTTATTATCTGTATCTTTTAGCTATTTTTGCAATGTTAAAATATAATAAGATTGGTAAATTTGTCTCGATTCAACATAATATCATAGGTAGAAGAAAGATTATATATTTTGATAACGTAACTGAAGAGAGTTTTGGCATGAATTTTGGAATGTAATAAAAATTTATTACATACGCCATTTTTTATACATAATTTCGCCATACATAATTTTTTGATTTTATGATAATGCATAAAGCCGAAAAATTCCTATTGCTATATTCGGACAATCGAACTAACTTTAAATTTCGTATTGAGTCACATTAATTCTTGGAGTGTAGTATACATAATATAGTTTGGTGTGGATTTTGACTTTGAAGTAATACATAATTGGTGCTAATTTCCATGGTACAAGATTTTATTTTAACTTGTAAATTTTCTCTAATTTCCCTACTTACTTTTTTCCGCTTTTTAGTGGAAACTTCTAGTTTCCTAAAAAGTCCTAAAAACAGATTTTGGTGAAATAATTTTGACGCAGTTTATTTCTTTTTATTAGTTTAAAATTTCGAATTTATTGTTATTGTATTCATTAAACTAAAAAAATCATTAAATGCATTTTTTAACGTGAATATACAGTTATATAATTTTTTCACATCAAATTTTTCAACATTAAAGTTTTTGAACAGAAAACCTAGGTGTGCGTAAAATACCACTATTCTCTATATTCACTTACTCTGTTCTTTGATTTGAAATTTTGTGAACTTAAATCAGGTATACTGACGATTAACTTACCGAACATACTTCTTTTCCGCAAATACAAAAAATATTGCGTTAGTTATGTATAATTAGTTATTAAGTAATATGGTATAATTAGTTAATAACGATTAATTACGTTTACCAATAACTTACGGCCAACGCACCGTTTACTCAGCTTGATCGACAAGACAAGACTCAAAATAGTCCAACAATTGACCTTATGCCTTTTAAACTAATAATCCACAACGTGATAGTCTTCAATTCGAACACCGTTGATCACAGCCATTGATAAACACCGTTATTCACCACAGCAGTTTTCAGTGTTCCCTGACTTCTATTAATCGATCAGTCATAGCTTGCCACTTATCTACAAATCTTCTATTTTGTTGAAGATTGTTGATTGTTTCAAATAGTAGTTGAAATGTATTTGCCCTCTTTTAATTACTTTCAACCAAGCTCACGTGGATCTCCTAAGACATTGAAACAAAGTTTGTTTATAAGAGCAATTCGTAATTACTGCTATAATAGATAATATTTAAATAAGTAATAAAGTACATCTTTTAAAGCATTGACACATTTTTCTTTAATTTAACATGGTTTTTTACTTCGTCTCCGTAGTAAGATAATGCAAATCATTCTAGGAACGAAAGTATCAACTAAAATTGCATGTGCTCGTGACCACCGGTGCCGCAAAGAATACTAAACAGACAATACAAAAGTTATTAATGCTAATGAAACTTTAAAACACACAAGCGCCACCAGGGATGTGTCCGTTCTATTGTTGAATATTCGAATATGTTTAGATAATCTGCAGTGATCATTGCGTATTTCACATCACTAGTAATAATAAAAGCATTGTCTGCGGAATATTAAAAGTTTTGCATAAAGTTAAAACTTAATTTCACCATTACGTACTTAATGTTCATAGCGGTTTTTTAATTATGATTATCTTTTATATTTAAATGTTTGTAGATAAGGTAGGTACAACATAAAGTCATTCTAAATGTAGGTATATTGTAAAGCATTGTTCAAATAGCGAATAGCGAGAAACTATTAAGCGACAGTTTCACGTTTAAATGTTTCGTGATAAATGAACAAATATATGTCATCGTTCCTACAAACTTCAATTTACATTACCCGTCACAGTCTTTGTGGAGTTAGTTATTCATTTGAATTCTTGGTAGCTAACTATTTTTAACAACAATAGTAAATTTACATTGTTGACATATTTAATTAATGTAGATAAATTACATGTATAAAAAAAATTAAAATTGACTTAAAGTTGCAATGTGACTGATAATTTAGTCGACAAATAGTTGAAGTACGTATAGTAGCGCTTTCTATTCATATTAACAAATTGATATCAGGCATGTGGCGGATGGAGTTGGTGCAGATGTGCTTAGTGCGAGTTTTTTAACGTTCTCGATAGCGTAAAAGTTAACTCTAATTTGTTTGCAATTGGAACAGCGCCCCTAGCGACAAACGTACACAAACGATCCAACTCCATACAAATTTGAGTTAACTTTTACGCTATCCGGTCACCGTCACCGACGAATGGCTTAACGAGCAAATTAACCCATAGACACAGCCCACTGAGTTTCTCAGCGGATCTTCTCAGTGGGTCGCGTTTCCGATCCGGTGGTAGATTCCGCGAAGCACTGCTTTTGCTAGGGTCAGTATTAGCATCACTCCGGTTTGAGCCCCGTGAGCTCACCTACTAGTTAAGGTTACGCTGTAATAGCCTCTCAAGGCTATCATCAGCTTAGGTAGGAAAAATCTACTTTTTTACGCTACCGAGAACGTTATAAAACTCGCACTAAGCACACAGATGTCCGATTCACATTCGATTTGATTCGAGCGTATGGCATAGCCATAGAGAGCGATTCCCCGTAGCGCGATTATATTTGGCGTTCTCGGAATCCGTTACCTGCGGGCGCGCAGCTTTCACGACCATCTGCCCGCTGTCATTGGCACACACGCACTGCAGCTGCCCCGCTCACAATGCCGGCTTAATATCGAAATGATTTATTTGTGTCGTTGAATCGTTGTAATTAAGACTTGTTAGGTCACTTGTGCTGACTCTGGGGCGTGTTACGAGCTGTTAGCCACCTGCTTCAAAGCAATCCGGTTTATATATCTGAAGAAGATAATAATCGGAGATAATTATATCAATGAAACTGTAGTACTGTGCCCTTGTATCCTCCCTAGTATCAGTATCAGTATCAGTTGGATTTAGTGTTATTCTGCTTATTTACCCCAATAAAAAGGACAACCTATTTTAATTATAGTTATAATACAGCTGCGGGTATGATTCGGGGACAGTTATTTATTATTGTTCGGGGGACAGCTGGTTCATGTATCGGTCTCACGGGGTTACGTAATACTAAACAGGGCGATGTGTTTCGTAGTAACGTACCTATTTGGTTGTAATGTAAATACAACTGTAATATTAATCATAGCTAACCTCAAACCGACCTTAAAACTATTTATTTAGTATTAGCTTTGTAAAGTTTTGTTTTGTTTTAAATAACATATTATAAGCGTAGGTACTTAAATATTATCATATTCGAATTCGGTACCTATTATATCCGTACACAGCGTGAATAACTTGACAAGTCGACTAATATCAAATTTTAAGTTATAGCAGAATTGTCGTCCACATTACTTGTTTTATATGGGGAATAAATGAGTAACTCGATTCTCTCACGTATTTTTGGGATATCGCACTTGTGAATTACTAAACAACTCTGTTTCCAACGAGAATATAATGACATTTAGATATATCTAAACATATTANTCTTATGTAAACAATCTTATTACTTTTCTCGGATTTTAATAAATTGCTTAGGTGAATAAATTGACAAGTCGTCGGTGAGCAACTTGATATGTCATTTTTTTCTTGATTAAAACGTTAATTGATTATTATACTTACACTGTGTGAAAATTCCGATGAAATTACTTAAATACGCATAAAAATTATATAAAAGGATAAGAAAATAGATTTACTAATAATATGTAAACTTAAAAATGGCTGCCCTGAAAAGTATGCATTTTCGACTTGTCAATGTATTCACGCCGTGTACGGATATTATCGTCGTTTTTTTTTTGTAAAGCGTTGTTATACTTCATACAATACCACGATCGGCAGCAGCGATCCAAGTTTATAATTCTCTACGTAAGAATTCGAGAAAATCGATGCCGACGCTCATGTAGGCATCGAAGTAACATGTACTATCGTATTTAGGGGGGTCACGAACTCTGGCGGCGTCGCTTCCCCGAACTAGCTGGCACACTCCGATTTCGACTTCACACCACACCGTTCGTTCCCAGTACTTCTTACAGCGTGCGACAAGCAGAAAGCAAATATTCGCAGAATTCGTACCGATAGTGATTTATCACTTTTGTGCGAGACAATACTTTCTAGTTTCCATTTACAGTTGTCTGCGTAACACTATGTACCTGTGTTATAACGGTTTATCTGTTCGGATGGTTAGATACGTAATGTAATATCAGGAGCAGTCGACGTCATTAGATTGTACATATCAAATTCACGAAGCTAGCCATTAGTTAATTCAGTTGAGAATGTAGTTGCATTTTGAGGTGTTTCTTAGCAACAGCAATAGATACTTAAATAATATTTGAATATTTGAATACATTTTAAGCAAGTTATTTAAAAAATTAGTTCACGAAATATGTTAAGGAACTCGTGAATTTTTTTATCACAAACTTTTATCGCAACCCAGAATATTAACGCGAAATCGAACGTGTAATTGATGAACTCGATATCAGGTTGATCTGCCTTAATCCGGATTATCTAGATTTTTATTGTAGATATACATTAAATTATTATCGTTTTGTGTCTAAGGTGCTATATAACACTGGTAATCTATTAAAATATTCAATAGTATACAAAAATATATTTAAAAAAAATATTCATATACATATTTTATGTTAAATAGATATATCGATAGGTATACGAATACTAGTATTATTTTAAATGTACATTACTACACGGTGGCTTTGATTTATTTGAATTATGAATAAGTATGAAAATGAAACCAAAGTTTTTCATAAAAGAGTACGCCGTGTGGGCAGATTTAAAATGTTAAAAGCTTTTTGAAAGCATCATAAAACGTTGAGCTCTATTGTATCTGTTATAACATCTTCGTGGAACATTTTCAATTAAATGTGTTTAAGATGTTCTCGGTAAAGGAGAAAGCAGACACCGATGTTTATCTCAAAATTATCAATGTAATTAACATTGTTTTTAATTAACTTTTGCTTCCATTTTAAGTATATGTTTTTTTTTTAAATAATATATATCGGCCTCCTTTCGAATGAAAGTAATCACATTTGTGTGGTTAATATTGATTTTTAACACCCTGACGTTAATTTAAAAACATGAGATGATAAAACTTTCTCTGCTACAATCTCTGCGGAAGAATATTAGAACTAATTTTTTTTATCAACCGTGGAATAAAATTTTAGCCAAGTCCGTTNAAGTATATGTTTTTTTTTTTAAATAATATATATCGGCCTCCTTTCGAATGAAAGTAATCACATTTGTGTGGTTAATATTGATTTTTAACACCCTGACGTTAATTTAAAAACATGAGATGATAAAACTTTCTCTGCTACAATCTCTGCGGAAGAATATTAGAACTAATTTTTTTTATCAACCGTGGAATAAAATTTTAGCCAAGTCCGTTTCTAGTACAAGATATTTTTTTAATTAAATCATTTTCCATATATGATATTCTTCGCGTGATCTCGTGATCCTTTGCATTTAATTAATAATAAAAAAACTAAATCTTTTTTTATTTCTATGCCATTGAATTAAATTATTAATAAAAAAAATGAAAATCAATGGAGTTTTAAACAATAATATTATACAGTGTAGGAATCGTTTTTAAATAAAATGATCGTATCCATGTGCCAACTGCCAACAGCGTTAGCGAATAATCTATGTCAAGCAACATTAGCGTGTAATCTATGCCAACTAACATGGATGTTGTTATGGCTTATGGTCGTTCAGCTGCGTAATTGTCGAGTTTCTCAGAAACGACGACTATTTGTCTGCGAATTAAATTGTGATATAACAACTGTGTAAATTATACGTGTTTGCTCAGCCGCATTAGAAACTTTAATTATAGCATCTGTGAAATGTTTAAAAATTTTATTTTCTAATGTATTTTCTTGGATGCTAATCAGCCATTGTGGAACGTTTTGTGTACATTGTATATTATAAAGTAGTTATTTGAAGATACTAAAGCCGTGTTTCGCTTTTTACAACGGAAATTTATCATTTTATAATTATGTTTTTCTTAAACAGTAAGCAAATATTTAAAAATGAAGTGATAATGAAGTACATAGATGTCTATTGTATGTAGGTATCTAACTGTGTGTCTATCTAAATTCTAACGTAAACTTTCAAAACGAAACATTACTTTTTTTGAATTTGTTACATAATATATTTTATAGAAAGAGCCATATGGTTGCTTAACATAAAGGTACAGAGAATTGCGTAAGCCATAAAAGGAGGTTCAATACTTTGTCTGCGCTGTGAGATCTCTTCGCTTTGTTAGTGAGAAATATTTCTATGATTCGTGCTGTATGACAATATTTTTCTTAGAATAGGATTAGCTATATCAGTAAATTGACATATTGTATTTATGAGAAGTATTAAAAAAAATTTAGATTCTATTAGGTACGCACTAGATTAGATTACGTTAATATGGTTCAGTAGTCAAATACTAAAATATATATTCACTAGATTTCTGTATTAATACAATTTAGTTTTTTCATTATGTAGGTAACGCTAATATATCAATTTTAATATAATTAAAAACCTTAATAGCCAACATAGCGTTTTCAATAACATAATATATAAATCCATATCATTCGAAAACAAGGAAACTTTTCAGTATGGCATGGATTCGAAGAGTTCGAAAAGTTTTAGAACAGATACAATATAAGCGTATACCATATATGTATATACAACATACATGTGCCTAGAAATATAATATTACCTTTATGTACACTCTGGATCACACATAACCTAAACTATGATAATCCCGCAGTTGTGCCTGTGGAAACTTATCCGCCGGACCATGGACCCAATGTCCAAAACATTGGCTGTTTAAGAATTTACTTAATATGGAAAAAAAAATTAGCTACACAATTATTTTCTCGAAATTCCTAATCTATCCTACGTAAACATTTTATCATTATTCCATTGAAGCAATAATGATTAATGTTACGAGTCCACGACTAACAATGATTCATTTGGACGATGCCCCAGCTTATTATGAATTCATCTAAACATGACTATAAATGTAAGTACAATACAGTACTTCATATTTTTCTCTAAATTCACAAAGTTATTTATTTTAAAAGTCCGCCATCTTGAATATCGATTAAATAGCCGTCATGTTTTTTGCTTTTCACTTTTATTACTAATCTCGAATTAAATTATTAAAAAATCCATTAGAGATTCTATATGAAACTGTGTTGTGTTAATAAATCTATATATTAATACGTGAAGCACTTTGTACCCATTTTTATGAAAATTGCGCGGACGGAGTATGATATTTCACACACTTATAGAGAATATAGAGAAAGAGTGCACAATGCTAATATTTTTTTAAAAATAATGCATAAAATATACTTTAAATCAATAAAAAAAACATTACACACACTACCATGTATTTGACACAACACATATATAAAAATTTATACTCTTTGTTTACTGTCAATTGGGAAACTTTTGTTATTGTATAAAGTCTGTGGTCGAATTGAAAATTGATTAATATTGTTTGTCTTTAATATAATTGATCTATAGTGCAGTTTTGGCGAATACTGTGATTATATTATCGAATTATAATAGTGTTTGACAATAGAACCATAATAATGTTTAAACTTATAATTTCATTTCATTATAGTCGAATTTCGACTACTGCGGGACCACTAGTATAGTATAAATATACCAACGTTTGATACAAATGTAATCATCGTTAATTTTAACAGAATTAAAGGCAGTTCGAATTAACTATATTGGATGGAAACATGCGAAACAATTTCATTGAGAAATTCGAGAAGCAACGAGATTACGAGACAAAACCGGGACGTACAATCCGTATAAGCATCAGCTACGGTTTATTGTGTAAGACACGAGTAAAAAACAAGGTCAACCGTGCTCATTCAAGTAAGAAGTTAAAACACACACAAAAAAATGTACGGATTTTCTCGGAATTTTTAAACTGGTATGTCATTTTGTCACGAGGTCCGGCTACTTCGCTGCGTCGTCGTGACAGCCGCGACAACGAATTCACGAGAATGGTAGGTGTGATTTCATCATCCGGACCGCTTTCGAGCAATTGTTGCTGTGTAGTTTCGCTTGATCCCGTCACACAATACGGGCACAATGTAAAACCGTTCTTTGTTTAGGTACATAATATATATTGTGTTGTGTGTGTGGAGTGTGTGCAATCGATTTCCGTGCGCACAGTGCTATGTGCCTTTTAGAATATGCATTTGATAATATTTATGGTAAATTAATTGGCTTCAATGGCTTTTGATGTAGATATGGTTATCGCTTTAACAGTTCATTCACTCGTTCATTCCGTTTTTTAATAGCCTACGTTGAGATACCAGTTCGGCGACCCACGAAGATCTCTTATGATTTTTGTATCGTATGTTCCATGGGGCATTATCTGAGGAATTGTCCGAGTTGATATGGTCCTCTGTACCCTCTACCGGAGAAGATCCTTTTTAGCCGAAGCCCATAGACATCTACGACGTAAATGCCACCACCCACCTTGAGATCTGAGTTCTAAGTCTCAGATTTTTTAACTTAAGCTTTAAGGGCTGCCCTACCCTTCAAACCAAAACGCATTACTGCTTCACGGCTGAAAAAGGCAGTGTGGTGGTACCTATCCGTTCGGGAACACAAGATACCCTACCACCAGTTATTACGATGTTATCCCTTCACCGTGGAAGTCAATCGTGAACATTTGTGAAGTACGTATTTCATTAGAAAAATTGGTACCCGTCTGCGGGATTCGAATATCAGCACATACATATACCGCAAGCCACGATTACTTCATGCCGGTACATTGCTGGGGGCATGCTGATACCAAACTGAACAGTGGAAAATGAGATCTAGACGGATGTCACAGAACCAAGAATTTCATTAATATGAAATGTTTAGCTAAACATAGCTAATCAGATCACTAAGCAGACACCAATGGAGAAGGAGATCCTTACGCGGAATTGGCATTGGATTGGTCACACTTTGAGAAAGCCCGATACCCACCTATCAAAGAGAGCTCTGATCTGGAAAGTGTCTGACAAAAGGAAGAGAGGCCGCCCTAGAACAACTTGGCGTCGCTCGGTGGAGCAGGAGCTAGGGGTCTTGGGCATGACGTGGGAGGAACTAGAACAGACTGCCCAAGACCGATATAAATGGAAAAATTTGATTCCAGCCCTACACCCCAGCAGAGGGTAATAGGAAGGAATGATGATGATGATGAAACATAGCTATCATACGATTCATAAATGATTCTTATCTACTTAGTAAATCGAAATAAACGCAATACGATACGAATTGCGATCAGCTGGTTACCACGAGACACGAGTAGCTACTTCACTGTGTCGCCGAGCAAAACGATGAGTCAATGACACTGTAAACGTTTAACGCGTTATCTTATCTACGCAATTCCATATTAAAATAAATCGATAAAGATCTAGAGTTGTTAATTATTGAGAAATTTAAAGTCAAATTGTTTTAATCAGGTCGTTTCTGTCGCAAAGCGGTCAAGATTTTGGAATTGATGGGTAAGAAACATTGTAGGCTGCTCTATGCTATTATGGTACGTAGACATGTTTCAAGGTGAACGCCTATGTTCTCTCTGGTGTTCATCGTCTCTGGGTATTTATTCACAGATTGGTGTATAAACTCGTATTACGATCATAACAATTAGGAAAAACAAAACCTGGCGCTTGAAAATCTCCATTGCACGTTTCGATGCCTCTTGATTTCATACCAAACCAATTAATTCATTGCTCCTCCGTAATAGTGCCCTCATTGAACCAGTTCATTCAGTCCTTCTCGTCTTGTCTGGAATGTCATTCTTGTCATTGTGACCGTATGAAATACTTCACATAGCCATAATTCATCACAAGCCCTTAATGATATTAAACATACATTATACTGGACACAATCGTCCACTATTGGTCCCATGGACGACAGGGCTACAGACCCAGACAAGCCCACTGACTTTCTCGCCGGATCTTCTCAATGGGTCGCGATTCCGATCCGGTGGTAGATTCCGCGAAGCACTGCTCTTACTAAGTCTAAGGCTGTTTTTTAATTTATTTTTTATTGCTTAGATGAGTGGACGAGCTCCAGGTTACCTGGTGTAAAGTGGTTACTAGAGCTCATAGACATCTACAACGTAAATGCGCCACTCACCTTGAGATATAAGTTCTAAGGTCTCAGTATAGTTACTACGGGTACCCCACCCTTCAAACCGAAACGCATTACTGCTTCACGGCAGAAATAGGCAGATTGGTGGTACCTACCCGTGCGGACTTACAAGAATTCCTACCACCAATAATTACGCAAATTATAATTTTGCGGGTGTGATTTTTATTACACGATGTTATTCCTTCACCGTGGAAGTCAATCGTGAACATTTGTTTAGTACATATTTCATTACAAAAATTTGTACCCGCCTGCGGGATTCGAACGCCGTTGCATCGCTAGATACGAATGCATCGGACGACTCATTCTTCAGGCCACGACGATTACTAAATTCTACTAATATGTAATTAGCAAATTCTTTCAGATTGAGCCTGAGAGCTCACCTACCCATCCGGGCGTAGCTGGAACAGCCCCTTAGGCTTCCAGCTAATATGTAGGGGAAAAAATAAACTCAGGCAACTACTTTCAACTAACCTATTTTATTAAAGTGAAAAGTCAATAAATACATTTTAATTAAGCCCTCACAATACAGTACGGCTAATTAATATTCTTTCGAAGCGTGCAATAACGGAAGCAGGTCAATCAAGTGTGCCGTAAATACTAAGAAGATATGTGTGTGTGTCATATCATTTTAAAATTACTATCGCATTTCTAGAAATAGCCGTCATTCGTTTAGTCCAGGTAGAGCTGACTCATCGAATGCAAAGCTTGGCGGTGTTCCTCATTTATTTATATTTTTGACCTTGTTATAAATATAAGAATGTTTCTCTTTGTATGCATACGAGTATGTCCTTTTATTGCGCGCCGCACTTTATGTTTATTTCGCAATTAATTAAATGTGTATGCGTTATCTGGGATCTCTGGTTTTTCAACATTATCTTTAACAACAACTATTAATGGCCACTGTACTATAAGGAGAACCTTACTATACGTACTTCAACTATTAGTAGAAACAGGTTGAAAATATTTTTCCTTCTAATTAAATTAATTTACTTACATATTTGAATTTGAAATATGTATTTAGATCATTTGCGAAATTCAGAATGTTTTATAATCGATTTGAAACTAAAGGACTTATTTCAAAAATCATTTTTACTTGAACGTAATAATTACTCCTTTTGTATGAGATTGAGTTGGGTGTTGCTCGCTTTTTGTTCTAAGCGAATAAATTGCTGGTCAAATATATTATTATATTATATATTTATTTGGAGCTTGGGGTTTCTCGTTAATTTGCTTTAAATGTGTAATCCGAATTGAACTGTTTGCGACATAAGTTATTTGCTAATCTGTTATTAGAATTCAAAGCTATTTTTACTACATTTACCGTACATTATCCTAATAAGTATTAAATTTTAATCGTCATGAGTTGTTAGTGTTAGGTATAAATAATACTTTGAATTATTCAATTAGTTGGAGTGTCGACAAAAACATAATTAGTTTACTGTGTTATATATAATCTGGATATTTATTTATGTTACATTTAATGAATGTTTTTTTTTGTCAGGATTAAATCGCCGGACTTTGCACTCTACTGGGGATGGTGGGGGGAGCATGTCGGAGGCGAACCGGCTAAAACCTCCTGTCGCTCAACAGCCAACGTCAAAACCTCACATGAGACAGAACCCATGAAGAAGCAAAGGGGGAAAAGTGAAACGCTTAGTGTGGAGCACATCTCTCCCATCACCCTTCCCCTCGGGATGCCGGACCGACGGTCGTCGGCGCCACGACCACCAGCCCTCTCGGTCGGCAGGCTATCCGGAGCCCGCCTAGACGGCGCCGATTAGAGTGAGTTATCCTACGGAATACCCCGCTGGGCCAGAACCAGCGTGGGTCGAGGATAGCCGACCCACGCTGGATCACGCATCACCCGAATGCTCTTGCATAAAACGCGTGTAGAGCAGCTTGCACGTCGTCTTCTTAGGTCCCCCTCGCCGATCACATACCGACCTGTGAGGGGGACCCGAAACACTTAAGAGGGCCAGGGCTTGGGCGAGATCCGCCTCCCTGGCCCCCGCTCGACGGCGGCGGGCTTGTGCATCTCTCACGCGCCCCGCCCCCCTTCTGCGAGATGGTGCACTCGCAGAAGTCGAGCATCGCCTTCTGCGATTTAATGAATGGTAACGCATTTATTGACAACGTTAACAACGTGCTTACGTTCCGTACTCATAAATCCTGTCTGAGAACACTACAGATATAATAAGTGTACTATAATAAAGGTACCGCCAAGACCAAAAATCTAATTTATAGTTTTTTATTGAAAATCCAAGAAATCAACCAGTGAGATTCTGAATAATTTTTTTTATTACTTAGATGGGTGGACGAGCTCACAGCCCACCTGGTGTTAAGTGGTTACTGGAGCCCATGGACATCTCTAACGTAAATGCGCCACTCACCTTGAGATATAAGTTCTAAGATCTCAGTATAGTTACAACGGCTGCCCCACCCTTCAAACCGAAACGCATTACTGCTTCATGGCAGAAATAGGCAGGGCGGTGGTACCTACCCGCGCGGACTCACAAGAGGTCCTACCACCAGTAAAAAGGACTCACAAGAGGTCCTACCACCAGTTAGCGTGAACGAGAAGGGAATCGCGAACTTTGTTATTAGAAGTTACGAGGATCGGGTTCCTTGAGCCTTAACTTCACAGTTAATTAGAAAGTAATCTATGTACAATATACGCCCTAATATGTCATAGTTAAATGTCATCGTGGCTTTGGGTTTTTATTGTACCGTTTACCAGGATACAGTTTACAGGATTAAAAAAAAACCCTTGCAAATTGTTTCTGGACTAAATTTAGGAAATAAATGAAGAGTTTATGTACTAATTTTTTTGTAAGCTTAGCTAGTGTAGTTTTACTTTAAGCCTTCATTTTCCATTGATGTAATAAAATGGCAAATCTTTGATATTTGGAAATTTATGTAACAATTAAAACATATTATGGTGCAATTAAAGCATTCTCTCAGCAAACTAAAGTCTCATTCAGGTTTCAGTTTTAACTGGTGTCAAAAACTAACCAATATCAGCTCGTTTTGAAGTGAAACATCACTTCATAAGCGTGTTCTTTTCAATTTCATATACTTGGTTTATTCATTAAGTATTTTAATTGGAATACTATATTTTTAGTGTGTACATGATACGATGATAGCTGATAGCGGTAGTAAAACTTCGAGTGGTCTATATTCAAGACCACAAATACGTGTAAACTTGATATTCGACTATTTTTTAAAGTCGACTTGAGGATTTCGGTAGTAATTTTTTATATTAATAGTAGCTGGCCCGGCAAACGTTGTTTTGCTATATAAATTATTTATAGGAAAGATAAATAATCTAGGTACCGACTGCAGCGCCGTCTGCCGGGCTGAT